TCCGATCTGGGGGGGGGTGTTCGTGAACTTATAAGGGAGGAAGGCTTTGTTTAAGTTGGGGGTTGCTAGATAGATAGGGATGGAAAGAAGATCTAGATTAGGGTCACGAGTTAGAAGGAGGGAGACTGCAAGATGGGAACAGGCACAGATGTAGGTACGAATTGATGATATTTAAAACCTTCACATACACTTAAAATGATCAATCACATAAATCGAATTGTCATCCAAGATAAAATCCGTAAGAACATCTCAATTCGTTTCCACATGAACCCCTAATTAAATCCCAACCAGCATATACAGTTTAAATCCATCCATAATATCATATCGTATATCCATCCATCATTAACCCCCAAACCCCAAATAACCAAAAAGATCCCGAACCCATCCGCCTGCACCGAACCCAAAAAAAGGCAATCCGCAAACAAACGACAATATCCACCCATTCATCACGAAAGGCTAGAGAAGCAAGACGCACACGGTAAACAGCAGCACTAAGATCCCGCTGATCTCGAGCGTGCTGGCGCTGCTCTCCGCCCGCCATGAGGTCCCGTACGTAGCGACGGGAGGTTGGTAGATGGTGACGGAGATGTTTGGGGAGGGTTTGGGGGTTAGGGTTGAGGGGGTGGCGAGAAGGGTGAGGCGAGGGAGGGAGGGGAGGATGCTGAGGGTTGGTAAAGAGGGGAGGATGCTGAGGGTTGGTAAAGGAGGGAGGATGCTGAGGGTCGTTGGGAGGAGGGGTAATGTGGTAATTGTGGAGATATTGAGGGAGCTCGAGAGCGAATCTTCTGCTGATGCGGCCTTGGTGGTGGAGTTGTCGGTCTTGGTGGATACAGAGGCGAGGGGCCCTAGGTCGGTCACCAGCGACAGAATGTCGGAGAGAACGGGGAGACCGGTGATTGCTGATAGACCGATCGTGGTCTCTGTACCGGTTATCGTGGAGCCGTTGCTTCCTGTCGAAGTACCCGTCACTGTGAATATCTCCGTCACTGTGGTGATGCCGGGGACTGTAATTATCTCGCTGACTGTAGTCACTTCAACCTCGGTAACGGCATCGGTAGATGTGGATGTATCTGTAATTGTCGCTGCATCGACGGAAGTCGATGTGCCGGTGACGGTGAAGACATCGCTCACTGTGGTTATGCCAGGAATTGTGAGTACAAAGGTCACCGTCGAGACATCGATCTCTGTAGACACGTCGGTCGCGGTAGATAGCTCAGTTGCTGCAGCCACCTCCTCTACGACCGTGCTCGATGCCTGTGAAGTAGGTTGTAGGGTGACCTTCGAGTTATGTACAGATGTTGGCGTCGACGTGGTTTGTGGCACTGGGACCACTGTCGTGTAAAGCTCGAATACCCTCGTAGTCTTGTCCTGTTTCGGCGCGCAGTCTGTCTCAGTCGAGGCGCAGGGTGATGTAACGGTCCAGCTGATGGTCTTGTAGACGGTAACGGTTGTCCAAGATTCGATGATTTCGGTCACGCTTCCGATCGTGGTTATGACGGTGTCGAGGCTGGTGATGGTGGTGGTGATCACCTCGGATCCAGCAGTCGGGGTTACGTGGCTTGACTCAGATGCGTGCGAGGTATGAGAAGCACTAGGGGTTATCGTTGGAGCGATCGAGAACTGTAATCTGCCGTAGTATACGGGGGTGGAGGTGTTTGTCGCAGTATCTACTGGGTTAGAGTTGGATGCTAGAGTAGTGTTTGAGGGAGCCTGAATGTTATATTTAGAGGGGCTTGCACTTGGAGATATTGGGGATGGGGTGGAGGAAGAGGTCACAATCGTGTTCGAGATCAACTTGCTCAGGGTGTGGTGCTGTTCATCCCCACGAGTTTTTGAGCTCGACGTGGTCGGGGGCAAGTTCAGGGTTTCAGTCACAGTCGTTGTGTTTGTGTACGGTTTTGTTAGGCGTGAGGGTGGAGCCGGAGTATGAGTGGTTGTGTACGAAGTAATGCTCAAGGTCACAGTAGAAGTGCCTTCCTCGGCCGATGAACTATTGATCAAGGTCATCTTGTCAGAAGTACTGGGGGAGGGAGTGGGCGCACCTGAATTATCATTGATTGGAGTGAATTGAGAGGTTTGGTCAATAGCTATTGGGATTGAACTCGTGCTCAGAATAGATGAGGAGCTTGGAGTGTGGGAGCTGGTTGAACGCTGACTCGAAGGCACAGTGAGTGTTGAACTCAGGCTGGTTGCACTAACTTCCGCTGATGAAGAAAGGGATGAAGCTGCGTGATCTTGGAGACTTCTGCCGCAGTAGGGTCAGCCACCGTCCATTTTGTGTCGCAACAAAACAGAGGTATCGTATTATCATAACTTACGAAGAACTTGAAATACTGCTTGAAGAAGTGAACGCCGAACTTGACCTCGATGAGCTTGTGCTTGATGTGGTTCTAAAACACTGTTAGGAATGTCTGGCATACTGATGTGAGGAACCTTACGATGAAAAGCTAGTTGCAGTACTGGAAGCAGACGTCTGCTGGTAGACCTTGATACTATTAATCAACCAATACGCATCTTCATACATGGTGGGATTGGCCGCCACGTAATCATTGCACGTCGGATATTTGATAGGATCGTAGCAGGACGTCGTTTGCCAGAATTGTGGTTGTCCAGCATAGCTGCCACAGAAATCAGTGTTGATGACCATCTGATGCTGTTGGAACGATTCATCGATATCACAGGAGCCGCCAGCTGTCGTAAGCACTGGCAACGGCCAAGAATCAGGGTTCGGAGTTCCGGCCTGTAGGTCTTCCGGGATACTGCTCGGCTCAAAGGTCCAGATCTTGATCGCTTCGCTTGTCCATTCCATCACATAGATACCACCGCCATTTTCATTCAATTGAGGCGAATAGGATCCTCTGTCAGGGTTCATCGCGGAGCACCCTTGGCTTGAATATTGCGCACCGTAAGGGTCGTCATACGTTGCCCATTGAGAACAGTTATATGAAACTTGAAGCCCAGTTTGTTGAATGGTTTCCTTGTTCCCATGAACAGAGCAATCGGAACCCGTGTGGAGCGTTGATGTGCTCTGGACCTCTTCGTTGATAGCTTCCAATATATCGATTTCTCCCCCGTTCGGCCAATCGTCCAGGGATACGGTCCAACTATGGAAGTTAGTTCTGCCGCACACTGCATACTAGCAACTACTCACAATGCTGGCCAAGTGCCGCAAGTGTTCGAGGGTACGTGGGCGAAATCTGCAACAAAAAGTCCATGTTGGTACGGTTTGTTAGATGTGATTCTGACACTCGGTCGACCGGAATCGGGGGAATATGTGTTCCAATGATCCACACCCATATATGCTTGGTATCCGGTAGGATTTTCGCTCGTAGGCACCGTTTTATAGTCGATCAACTTTCCTCCCAAACTTGTTGATTCAGCCTCAGCTTTGCTCACGTACTGTACGAACCCATTCGTTGGATCGGCGGCCTTCCATATTGTTAGTCGTTATTCAGGAGTTCTGATTCCAGAATACCTACTGTAAAGAAATCCCAACTGTCGAAAAATGTGTTCCCTGAGTAGTTATCCTCAGAAGCAAGTGTGTACTCCATAGTTGCCGCCACAGTGTTAGCACAGGCGAGGACCAGAGTCCCCGCCTTGAACAATTTTGAGGGAGACATAGTTAGGAAGGAGGGGAGACAAAACTCAGTTTGTGGGGTGAGAGTGCCTTACAGGATGAAGTGAGGTGCCACCCACCTTTTTGTTGTCGAAGACTTAAGGTTTGGTTGCCATGGGCCGCAACGCTGCTGAGGGGTCCTCCGACGTAAGAGATGGAGGAGTTCAGGTGGAGAGTCATGATAACGATGGCTATAGGAAAGGTTTCTTACGCGGCTCAAAACTTAAAAACAAAGTGGAGGTTCAAATCCATACGTTTCAAACCATACAGATGTAGCATTGAGAAGAGCTAATATCATCAGGTACAGAGATCATCTTCACCAGCACTCTACTGGGACTACTCCAGAGCCTAGATCAAGGGGAGAGAATCGCTAACAAACACCAAGATCTTAGCCTCTTTACCACTGGGTCGGGCCAGATCTTTGGATTGTGGGTAGCAGTGGATATAGACCAAAGCTGAGGTTCAAACGGTGCAGCGGGAAATATGAAGTAGCGCGAAATGGGGGGTGAGATGAGCCAGAAGCTTGGTTCTCGCTTCGCACTGCACAGTCCTAATTCAGGATAAATTGGATCGACGTCTTTCCCCAAAATGGCTGTTGCCCAGCCAACACCGGTATTGTTTACATGGAGACGAGAAGACCCTATTTATCCCCCACTTTGCCTACAATAACAGATTACGATTTATTGATTTGCTATTTTTTGCATCTCTAAATACCTGAGACCAATAGTCATGGTTTCAACTCAATAGTCAGTCACACTTTGATACGATTCCTTCCTAGCTCGAAATACAACTCCCTCCTTATCCCCCGACCTGCTTTTGATTGAAAACAAGGCTGTGTAAACAAGATTTCATCATCACCGTTGTGGCTGCATATGCAGCACGTATCAACAAATCCTCCGCCCGTCCCAAATCCAAGGGACCAGCGAGAGAAGTGTACATACAACTAAATCCGACTGCATTTTGACAGCTGAAGTGTGGATCTTTAAGACGCGTCATACAAAGTAGAAATATGGTGGGGACTTTGTCTACGGTTGCAAGTCCTAATATGATAAACACAAGTCAAGTCACTCAAGGCTAGACCGAGAGAGAAAGTTTTCTCAACGTCTCCACAGAGAACTCAAAGTAAACAAACGGAATGGCCTAGGACTCTCAGCTGTACCGTCTGTCTACGGAGTATATCAAATCAAGAATTCATGGACTCCATATCACAGATTGGTCCCACCCGATTGTATTCCTCTCTCGGCCTTAATTCCAGTCGTAGTGGCTTGTAACAAATTCTCATCATTATTATGTACCTGTTTGAAGGTTGTACTCCACTGCTGTACTTGTTCCCATGCCAATTCCCGTCTTTCTTTATGCCCAGGTCTCAAGTTAGTCCAAGTTTCTTTGGCGCGCGGAAGGAGTCTGCCTCGCCGAAAATGCAACAAACCTGCGGCCCAACTGATAAAGCTGGAATAAATTCTCTTTGATGGCAACCTGCATCGCTGGCATAAGCGTATTCTAAAATTGTGTCCCTCTCCTTTGTCTTCGTGATCGAGTGGCTTACCCTCTCTTTGTTCTTTCAAACCACCCCATCCATACTGACAGCGGTTGTGCTTCTCCAATGTCAAAATTCAATTGTACCATGATGTTTCAAAATTGCAACAGAGACCCATGGAATCTTCCTGGCGACGAGGTATAGTATCTTTGACTTCGATCCACCAGGTCGTGGCTCCTCATAAAGTCCTCAGTTCCAGACAATTTAGAGGTTGGTTTATTTTTGAAAATACGTGTCAGTGGTACTCTTCATTCGGGAGAGTTTTCTTTTATTATCCATATCTCCCATGCCTCAAATTCCTGGAGCGTCCCAATCAAGTGGGGAAATATCCCATACCCTTTCCGTTTCCGGTGTAAGTCATAAAGTGCAATGGAGTACAATAGAGTCTCCTAGGAGAATTCATTTTCCCTAGACTCATTTGAGAGTGTAGTTACAAAGACTACGGAGTTGACAGCTGACGGGTTCGAACAGAGATCAAGAAGGGGAGACCCATTTCCAACACAAGCGATTCTACCAGCTATTGTAGATTGCCCGGAGAGAACACGCGAAGGTTCAGAGGGCCGGAATTCCAGTTTCTCCAATTCTTCTAGAATAGTATTGACTCCAGTGTCTGGACTAGGATCCTCGTCATCCTCAAGTTCAGCGGAGGCCCTCCCAGTTCAACCCGACTCGAGGCGACGAACTAGAGACAGTGTACCCATAGATCAAAGATTATCTATTAGGGAGTCTAGACCATCATTGATTTCTCCAGTCTCCAGCCTAGTAAACATCACAAGATTACTTCGCTCCAACCCTGGATCGCCTGTTCCCTTCAGCGAACCAGCAGCGCCATCACCATATTCCTCACCAGAGAACTCAAGCTCTTCTATTCTCCCAGACTTTGGCGCAATCTCTGATACACTATTCTGGCATTTGTTACTAGAGAAATATTGGCATATTGAAGAATTTCCTCCAGGGTCACTCGTTTCCAACATCCAAAACGATCTCTTCAGCGGCGCTATCCAGCAAACCATAATCAAAATTGATCAAGCTCTAAGATCACCACTGCGCCGTCGGTCCATCAAATCTAAAACTATTTCCTTTTTTACAATGGGGTATTTCTCAGACTCATCGCGAGTCCCTCGCCACGAGGTCACTCAGCGGATCAATCTCCATCTTCTACGCTGTGCAGCACTGCTTGCTTATGATCAGCCAGAAAAGGGCTTGTATGATGCAGAAGCAGCGCGGAGTACCGCAGAGGATGAAGCGGTTTATTACTTGCAGTGCAAGAGTCAACTGTACCGGGGCCTGTGCTTGAGAAAATTAGCAAGGTGGGAGGAAGCTAGTGCTGCGTTCACCAGAGCAGCCAATATTAGAGGCTGGGCAACTAGGGTAGAGGAGTTGAAGAGGGAGGCAGAGAACATGATTGCTGAGCAACGAATGGGACGATCTAGGAGAATTGCATCCGGAAGACAGTAAAGAGACTTGCTAGCTTTAAAGATGTATGCCGCATAGCGGGCGGATTTTTGGGAATTTTGGGAAAATCGGACGAAAGCGAAATATAGCGGTATCGAGTGCGGCGTACTTGTTGCGAAGAATATTTCTTCATCGAATCACTCTTTGCAAACCTTATCACTATGCTTTGATAGTCGTGGAATTCCCTTGCTGTGAGGGTATCCTTTAGGAATGTGGTCGCCGCATCCGACCACAACAATGATACCCTTCTCCATTCCTTCTTTCACAAAGAAACCGTTCATATTCCACTGCCAATTCTTCCATTTGACTTTTGTGCTGCAAGAAATCTTCTCAATCAAATTGTTATTCCGGACCCAAGAACTACTTGCGTGGTATATACGTAAAATATATTCTCGTAATTGGAAACGAAGAGTATCAATGGCAAGAAAGGGAAGAAGAGCAGGAAGGGGAAGAGGGGGAGGAAGTACAGGAAGCCCATCAGGGTCATCGCCAGAAAGGAATATCAATATTCAACAAGGACAAAATCAAACCGAAGGAAATCTGGCAACGGCCCCTACCTCGAGGATACCTGTAGCGGGATCTTCATCCGCAGCAACGGCCCTAGAACAGCAACGACAATCTCCTCCAGCGTCCAGAATTCCTACTCCTACAGCACGGCTACCTCAACAATCCAGGTCAGCAGCGACAACATCAAATCCAAGAACTCATACTCCGTTATCAAGCTCACCTCAACAACCTACAGGAACAACAGCGACAGCAGGAACATCCTCATCTAGACCGAATACTCCATTGACTGCTGCAATTGAAGAACGCTCGTCTCGCAGCTTTTCAGTCCCGCCTTTAAAGAAAACCCAGCCTTCACCAGTCTCGTCAACCACCGGAAGTTCCTTGCCATCCTTTGTGAGATCTCCGATTGAGTCCAGCCCAGCAGCAGCGACCTCAAAGTCAACTCCTCCAACAGGAAGCAGCTCAGAATCACCCGTCTCTGAACCTAGCGGGTTACCTACGCTGAGAAATCTCTCTGAAGATGTAAAAGCGAGCTTCAGCGCCGAAAGTCAAGATGAGCAAGGTTTGCTTCCCGAACCTCCTTTAGTCGAAAACCAAGAAACGGTGACACCAAGTGTCTCTTCGACTGGCCCCCCAAATACGCCAGCAACACCGGAAATGTCAGAAAGCATAGTGCACTTGATTCCCGCTGCTCTGGCACTTGGAGGTCGAAGCTCAGCTGCGACAGATGCTCCCACCAGCCAAGTCCCAATCGCAACAGATGGTGCACTTACGCAGCCTCCAAGTTTGGCAACAACCGCAGTTCATCTCCCTCCACTCGCAATAGCCGGTGAACCCACATTGACTTCTGCTATTCGGGAAGCACTGCTGGACACAAGTCCTGGTAGTGCTACCAGCGGGCACGGGTCAAGGGACGCCGCACCCACGCAGTCCAACCCAGGTGTTGATACCAAGGACTCAGAATCAACACAGAACAACCCAGAAACTGGTGAAGATGGCGCAACCAAAGGGATAGTTTCTTCACCAGCTGCACAAACCGCAGAGACCATCACTCAGAATAATCCCGCACCCCAAACCGCACCTCCCGCTACTACCATATCCGCATCCTCAGATGTTCCGGCACCATCTTTAGAAACGACCTCTCGAAGATCATCCTCGAATATAGGGGCGCACACACGAATGTTCCGCAGGGCCTACAATCTCCCAGATGACTATCTTTCCGGCCTCGAGGAAGAAGCAGTTGTAGACTCGACGCGCACCCGGGATGAGTTAGCTAATCTGATAATGCAGATGCCCCGGACGAATGTCTCAGCTATTGCGTCCACGCCTTCGACATCGCAGGGTAGTTCTCCTGAGCAACCGCAGAGCGCTCGTTGGGAGCCGGAACCTCCGTCTCAGATTCAACAGTGGAGAGAGGCAGGATCAACTTCGTGGTCCACGGTCCCATTATCCAGTGATGGACTATCGGAGTCTGGAGGCTTGGAGATGAATCAGGGAGGTGAGACAGCGTTGATGTCAGGGAACCTGACCCCCATCCCAGCACCTGCACAAGGAAGAGTAACGACAGGAGAACAGCTTCAGATAGCTGGGCAGCCTCCCGCAACTTCGGGTTTGCCTCAGTCACACTTGACTGTGACGTCGGGGAACCCACTTGCATCAGGCTCTCAAGCACAACCTATCCAACAATTACTTGATGAGGCGCTGAAGACGCATCTTTTCGGCGGTGAATTTGGCCAAACGGAAACCTCACCTCCCACTCGAAGCTCTCATGCCATAACCTCAGCCTCAAGAGCGACGCGGGATGAATCTCTCACTACAGGAGAGAAGACTGTAGAGAAAGCACAAAATTCGATTGATGGACAGTTTGAGGGACAATCAACTCAAGCGCCACCTGTCTTCTCTGGCTCAAATGTAGGAATTGAGGAAGAGTCTGGGTTGAGAGTGGCACCAGCTGGCTCAGAATTTGGAGGTCCTGATACAGACTCCGGCGACAATAAGCAGCCATCATCCAAAGCTCCACCCCTACCTCCGCGTCCCGGAGGGCCGCCAGGTGATGGCGCGGGACGAGCTCCTTCCGGATCACCTTCACTTCCGCCAAGTTTCAGTCTGCCCATCGAGGAATACTTGCACTTTCCGCGTCCACCGCTTGCATTCTACAAAGAACCCAATACACCCTCCCCGCTTTGGGAGCCTGGTTTCGGGCCCGTAGGATCGCAGACTCTAGACCCCGGTAGGCCGCTAAACATCGTACCAATAATTGGAGACCAGCCTCCGGCGAGGTTCGAGTTTGACGAGGAAGAAGTTGATGCGGAAGCATGGTTTGAGGCGGAAGATGAGCGAGAGAGAGCCGAGGCTCTGGCCAGAGGTCCAGTGGTGACGACGGAAGCGACCATCCGACTGGAGAGGCAACGGGAAAAGTTGATACATATGCCGAGACAGCAGGTATGTTTTCATCTAATTCCAGACAACGAGAAAAAGAGTATGACTAACCACAATTCCCATCTAGCTCCCACAGGCGCTAATAGAATGGTACAAATATGTGGACGAGAATGATGAAAGGATAGACCTCAGCATAGAAAAAGCAAAGCCTGCTGTGAATGCCGCTTTAGAACTCGGAGTCTCGCAAACCAGTTCCATCCTTCAAGCGAAGCTCGAGATTAGACATTTAGATTACGACAGGGAGCTCTTGAAGAAGGAGCTTGCGCTTATGAGAACCGAGATCACAAATCTTCGCAACTTTATAAAATCCAATAGGCCAGACGCAGAACAAAACAAGAAGTATCTGGAAAAGGTTGCAAGTCTGAGGGCCGCCCTCCATAGGATCATAGAACTCATGAAAGAAGTTCAAACGCTAAGGATGAAATGCAAAGTCTTGGAAAAGCGAATCCCCGGCCAAGAGACCAATACCGATAATAAATCCAACCAGAAGATCAAAGAACTGGAGAATAAAATCAAAGTTCTCCGCCAAGAAGCACTAGATCAACAGCATGCAGCTGCACTTGTCGTCCAGTTCAACTCGGAAGACGGGGTGAATACCGAAGCCAGGGGAGTAAGGGAATTGAAAGCTGAAGTCAACAGTTTGAATGGTAGGCTTATGGACCTGATATCCAGGAACGAAGAAGCGGAGAACACTATTAAACTCATGGCAGAAGATGCTGAAATGAATGAAACAGCCATCCCGGAAAATATAGAAACGATTAGACGTCTGACGGAAAAGATTACAGAACAAGCTGAAGAGATCCTTGAACTACAAGAGGCTGCAAGGGGAAAAGAGCCTGAAGACAAAGCTGGAAATATGAAGAAACTCCAGGAGCAGCTCTACTCTGCAAGGCTTGATTTTGTGACTGGTGTTAATATCGTAGCTGGTCTACGAGAACAGGTCAGAGAACTACAGAATGAAGGCGTGGATTTAAGGAGGAAATTGGAAGCTGAACGTTCTGCCTTGCAGAATTACAAGACCCAAGGAAGGGAGCAAGAGCTGAGAATCCAAAATCTCGAAGTGGAACTAAAATCTATGGAGGGGTTTGTCGAGCCGACAAGGCTTAACTTCCATAGTGTCAGCACCCAAGAGCTACAAAAGGAGGCACAGAAATACAAAGAAGAGTACAAAAAACAGGAGACGGAACTTGAAATGGTCAACGAGGATGAAGAACAACCGAGAGAGCGGGTCGCTAATACTGAACATAAAGTTGAAAATTGGGGGAACCAGGCAACGACTTTGAATCAAAGTCTTGATCGAAAGGGTATTTGTAAGTTGACTTCCAATCATCCAAATACAAGGAGCTTACCAAAGAAGCAGATCCAGCACCAACCCAACCAGAATCTTCTCTTCCAGAAGCTCCTGGCTCACCGAATATCAAGAAAATGCCGCAGGAAATGCGAGTCGAAGCCAAACGAGGCGCCATAGAACTTGCCATCATACGAATTCGATTGGCATTATCCTACATGGTCCAACAGCGAGCACAATGTGGGTTCCAAGATGATGATAGTACCGCCGCTCTTGATATTGCCTGGGACACATTATATTACTGTGAGAAAGCGGGTGACGTTTCTCTCATGGCCCGGGCCAGTTTCTGGCTGGGCGTAACCACATATTATAGCGATGATATACGTACAGCATTGAGTCATTTCAAGGATGCTAAAAAAGATATGCCGCTGCAGTGCGATGAGGCAAAATTTCTAGATGAGTGGTTCAATCGCTGCAATAGGGGAGGGCCTGAGAAAGACGCCGAAGTTTATGTACAGGAGCTTGCTCCGGCCCCTGCGATGAGATCAAAACGTCGGCGCGAGAGGAAGACACAAAAGGACGAGAAAAATCCTGACTACGGGAACCCTAGTGATCAAGACACTGGAAAATACGGACTTAAGGGAATGGCAACAACGAGAAGAGATCCTGAGCTGCAGCCCGCACCACAGACACAGACAGAAACTCAGGCAGGGGGAAAACAGGCTGAAACTCAGGAAGTTGTAGAAGCCAATGGATTCAGGCGTTTCTTGAGAAGCTGGTCTCCAGCCAACCTGTTCCATCCGCCCTAAGGGTTTTTTGGGTTCCGGACAGTCTTCGAGCTGGTACGGAAGAAACAAATACTCAAGAATTAGCCATTGTTTGAAACACAGTCGCCTATATTTGGGTATAAAGAGAGAAGGTGGTTCAATGAATGGGGGTGCCCATATTGAATGTTTTTAAGAAATGGTTTGGAGATACAGTTCCATTCTGTTTCAAGTGTGGAATGCGAAGTATAATCTTAACCACACTTGTGGAATCTTTTTGGGGGGAAGGTTTGATTCGTTTTTGAGCCAGATATAGAAGATTTAACTCGTCCTCTCCCCTTTGTAGAAAATATCCCATTAGAATCGTATTATGCGGGCAATATACTGCTGTATGGAATTTCCCAGAACCAACTCGCAACTCCCATTGCTCCAAGACTCATTGTAAACGCCATCAGAAAGTTGACTTGATTGTTATCGAGCAAACCCAGGGAACCGCTCTCCACTCTTCGACCCGGTTTCTCATCCCCAAAGCTGGGGCTTCGGGTCTTCTTCGCGTCAGATTTTAACCCACCCATTTTCTTATCGAGATATTCCTCAATTTCGTTGCTCTGGGCCTGCTTTTCTACCGAGCTTTTGCCTTCAGAGTGTAAGATGTTTTCTTTAATCTCTGCCCGTTTCCTGTAGTGCATGGTGTTTGGTCCCGCTTTAGAGACTAGGACTTGTTTGCCTCCTTCACCTTCAATTATTCGGCCGGTTCGCGTGTCCACAACACTTGATTGTAACCAGCCACCCAAGAAACTATCAAGGAGACTCCCCAGTGTTCCCCAAAACGCCATCGCAAGCGCGAATCTTTGCCGCTGATTGAATCCCCACCCACTTATATCCCGCAATCCCGTCACCGGTGACTTTGGGAGACAGAAAGGAATGAGTGCCATCGAGGCGGCAACGATGATAAGGGATCCCAGAAATCCGGACGCAAGGCCCCAGATAGTGACGCCTCCGTTTGTTCCCGGTGGGACCTCTCGCAGCTTCAAAGAAGTGATAAGCCGCGGTCGAGTCTTTGATAGGATTCCGAGCTCTGAACTAAATGTATCTGCAGCTACCGCCGCGTAATTTGCTACTATTCCAATGACCAGGAGATCACCACCCCATGGATAACAGCCTGGTATAGAACCGCTGCTAGGAAGGACGCCTTGTTCTCGCTGGTAAAGTTGGTATGTGTGGAGGAGACTGAGGATCGAAGCTACGCCGGAGTTGGCAAGTACTGCATTGCCCTTAGTACCGCACGAATCTTAGGTGTCCAACGGTACATACCTTGAATATGTGTCCTCGCTCCTTCACCGCCAGGGTTGCCAGATGCTTGCATCGTAAGTCTGGCCTTGACATCGTGCTTGACCTAGGTGTTGTCAGATCAATTAACAACTTTTCTAATACGCATGCATACCTTTGTGACCCTGGTACCAGCCAAGAAGAATACTATGAGAAGAGCAAAAGGCAGATTCCACGGATGGACCGCATGCGCAACAGCTGTAAATATAGCAGCGACGATTCCCGCCGGTGTAAGAGACTTGTGCGACCAAGCTCGGTACGCCATGACCAGTGTCACTGGCACAGCAATGGCGGCCTTCATATTGTCGAGTCAAGTCGAGTCAAATCGATTGAGACAGGCGCATTCAATAAAGTGTATTGACTCTGTGGTGGTGTTGTTCTGCTCTGAGGCAGACGAGGACTCCGGAAAGCATTATTCAGTGAGGGAGGTCGTCGTCATACCTTGTCCAGGAACTCCCGGATCGGTGGATCTAAACACCGTGCTTACCTAAGTCGGTGCAGATACATAAAGGGAGGATTCCAGCTACTTGCCCAGATCAAACAATCCTCAAGGAAATCTGCTGGCACCGGGTGTGAGTCTATGGATAGACTGACAGAGATGTGTAAGTTCTTTTTGTACTTTAATGCTATTTCCATCTTCCCTTTTCTCCACCCTATAGTTGTATTGAAAGTTTGAAATTGGCCTGCGGGCCTGAATTCTGTAGCTGGGACTGTTCGTGATGGAGATAACCCTGCTCTCCGGATAGTAGTCTGCGATCAGCTTGGGGCTCATAGTTATCCCTCCCACGATCTCAGCCGATAGTTTCAATTCGTCCAAGTTACCAGTTGGTTGAGTCGCAAGTCACGGAATCTCCATATCCTTACCATTTTCCTGCTTTCCAAAATGGATCATCGGGGGCTTTAGTATTGAAGGTAAACCCAGATATACTCGTGATAGTAGCAGTCACCAGTGTTGAGCTATCTCTTAAGTACATGATGTCTCTGAAAAAGTATCGTGCATGCTGCATGCTCCCCATGGTTTTCATTTATTACATGCATTTCACAAGCACTCAAACCCTTAGATAATTGAAAGAGCGCGTTGGATATACTTGGTTTAAGCACGCGATCGGTTGCTCCTTGTCGAGTTTGCTTATTCTTCTCCTTCAATCCCAGCCTCGCAAGCTATTAATAAACCCTCTCCCTAACCATCCCACAACTCGAGGCGTACATCTAGATCCCCTCCACTTCTCAGAACATTCCTTGTTATTTTTTATTGATATACTTTTATCCCCTCATTTTCTCAGCTCGCTCACGAGTGATCAACTCTTATCCAATCCGAAAGCCGAACCCGTCACATTCGTAGACGGTCGTGCGGCTGAACATAAGCTTTTCCACTTGCAGATGAATTGCTTTTGGGGTGGCTACAGCCACATGTTCACAAAAAAGATTAATCCAATCTAAAGCTCAGGACAGGAATAGAAATTCGCTTAGGAAAGAGCCTTTAGTGGTGGTTCTCTGGGGAAGGGGGTCAATTTCGTGGAGTGGGCTGAGATTCATGCAGCTGCCAGAAGCTTATCACGCTGTGGCGTCCGATCCGATGGTCAAGCAGGCTTATTGTCTTTTCCACTCTCTTTTGGCAGGAGAAAGCGAAATGGATGCACCTGTAGATGAGCGTGTTATCTATTTATTAAGTCATGTCGCCCTTTCAAAGGCGTCCTGCGCGAAAGGTCCATTGTCCACCCAGAACATCACTCACGAGCACTCAAAAACCAGAATCATGGCACCAACATACACCGCCAGGATTGGTGAGCGCGCATATCGATATCGCTATCACTCAGGTGGCAGTTCCTTAAGCGGCGGTGGGATTGGAGGAGTGGTGATCGGTGCCATCGTTGTTGTGATGCTCGCTATCTTCATCGGTGTCTTCTGGTATGAATATAATAAAGGTACTATCCTTCCCATCTCCTCTCTCTTCACACCATAACGAAACCTCCACTCACTAACTCACTCACTCATCATACACAACAACTACTAACTACTACCCACAGCTCAAACCCTCAACATCCAACGCGGTACCCCCAACGCCCCAATCCGCAAAGGGCCTATCTTCAGCACCGCCTTCTGGACCGCCCTCACGTTTGGACTCGTCGGTCTCTTCTGCGCATCATGTCTTGCCTCTAGTGATAATGTCACTGGAAATAATGATGGTGGCGGCAGCCAAGACCCTTCTCAAATGCCTGAAGGCGGTGATACGCCTGGGATCAGCCCGCCGCAGATGGGCTATCAACAGAATGTCGATTGGCCTACTCTTCAGTCCGCAGCTACGGATCCTATTCAGACGGCGCCGATTGATGATAGTTAGGGGGTGGGTGAAGATGGAGAGCTTAGAGAGGCTCATAGTGGTAGGGGCGGTGGTATGATTAGTGTATTATGTATGAGTGAGCTTCTGGGTATTGTCAGAGATAGCAATGAGCGATATCTGGAAGTATGAACTAAATCCAATCGTTGATAGCATCCGGATCTATGATATCTACGTGTCCACGGCGCCTCTTCTATACGAATATCTAGACCAATCTGAGACCTAAGCCTCGCTCTCCGCCAACCACACCGCCTTATGAGTTCTCACTCTCTCAATCCTCTCTTTACTCAACTTATACCCCTCCGGTACATCGACATCTGCCATCTCACGCCCCAATATCAATTGCGCAACTGCTTTGCCACACAGCCAAGCATTAGGCATACCATGCCCCGTAAACCCTCCAGAGAGCCACAATCCCTCGCCGCCACCGACCCCCAACTCCGGGCTCACCTGGCCCACCCATGGATGTCCATCCCGACTATACCCCATAATCCCGCTCCATTCCCAGCTAGCCTGTAATTCCTTCCCCTCATTCTCGAGTTCGAGAAGGACGTTTATCTCTCTGCGGAGATAGGCGGCGGCGGGGGGGTCGATGGCAGAATCGTCAGAGACGCCAATACCTGCATTCTCGGCGTAAGAGCGCGCTCCCCCAAACATCAGCTGGCCACCGCTTTTCCCATCGTGGGTGAAGGGTCGTTGGATGAGGTAGTCGTCTTGGTCGGTACTTTGCTTTCCGTGGCCTAGGAACCCGTAGGAGCATTCTAATGGCTTGTGCATGGTGCTACTTAAGGGCGTTACGGATTTTGGTGGGAGCAGGGCACTCATCTCCCCCCGTACAGGGACTATCAAATCGCTGAAGGCGGGGAGGAGGTGTGAGGTGTAGGCATTGGTAGTTAGGAGGACGGTAGGAGCAGAGAGCATGCCACGAGGCGTGTGGATGATCCATCCCTTGTCCATTTTCTGGAGATTGGTTACGGGGGTATTTGTTTGAAGATTGAGGAAACTGCTCGCGATTAGGGATTCCAGGATCCAGGAGACGAATTTGTAAGGCCAGAGACTTGCGGCATGAACCTGGAGAATTGCGCCTGCTGCTCTGGGTACTCGAAGATCCTCCAATGAAGGATTCGTTGATTCCTTCGTGATGACAGAAACAAGCTTTCCTAATTCCGGGTCTGTCTTCTTGAGGGTCTCCACTCCCTTGACGGCAGTTTCGAACATGGATGAAGACATGAAGGCGTGGCACCCCGGAATACTCTTCCATTCACAGGGGATATTATGGGTGGCGATAAGAGATCTAATAGCCTCGTAATTGCGAAGCTCAAAGGCTCCAACTTCGGGAGTCGAATCGTATATCAAGGGTTGGCAATGGCCTCCATTCTGGGTTGCGTCAGGACGAAGGCGGAATTATGGGTGGGGGTGAACTCACGCGACCTGTTGCTCCCCAGCAGGCTTCTCGGGCCTCGAGCATGACGACGTTGACATCCTTGTTATTGAGCTCCTCGCGGAGGTGCAATGCAGCAGATGCTCCAGAGATGCCGCTCCCGATGATTACTATGTCCGCTTTGAGGGGGAGAGACGGAGTGGTTCGATGGCCGAGAAGGACCTTCGAAGGCTCACTATGCCAGAAGGACTTGGTTGAGCTTGGGGTTGGGAGACTCGCCCGCTCGGGGAAGTATTCGTCGCCCGTCATGCTGATGCTATGGAGGTTGTTGAACTGATGTTGTCGTTGACCGCTGCGTGGATCGAGGTGGGAAGGTCACGTGAGGATTCGGGATCTGACCCGCCAAAAGGGGGTGGGGGGTATCTCACAGGGTTGTAGTGTCAAAATCGTCAATCTCAGCACAAGATTACAAGGTGCAAACATCAAGTTAGAGATCTGCCCGGATATAAACAGTTACCGGGGGGGGGGGATAAAGGGCTCTATTAAGGCAGAAATGAGCAAGTAATTTAGAATATACACGTCTGGTGTTGAGCTTTGCTACAACAGCGTCGATGTGGTGCGTTTCCACAGTAAAAGAAGGAATGGATTTATAAACAGGTACCTTGGCTTATCGCTAAGTTAGTTTACCCGCAAGTAAGTTCGCCTATGATAAGACTTGTCTCCACTCCCGCACCCCACGTAAGATCGACGAACCAACCTTCTAACCAATATAACGGTCGACGAAGAACGACCTGCTCCCGCCTTGTAAAGGAATATATAGCTGATCTTAACCGCTTTGGATATAAAGAAGAGTTGATTTGCTGGACGCAAATGGCCCATATACCCAGTCCTCTATTCTGTTCAATGCACCGAGTGACTTTATTCACCACTACCGAAGCCTGGATTTCAGGTGCATCGATATGGGCGCCCCGGTTTCAAGCTTTCAACCACTCAAACCGGAATTACTTGTCCTTTACAATCTAACTCTCCTTCTTTAGGCTGACCTATAAGAAATACCAATGTCAGAATTGAGGGAAGACTTGAAGAGCAAATCCAGCAAACTCATTCCCAGCATATGAGATTGCAATAAAGAAATAACGATGCATCATGCATCATGCAAATGAGTCTTGGGACTCTTGGCTGCTCTCAATATTATCTTGCATTTTGGATAATTTGTGAAGTTTCAAGAGGGAAAGAGAAAGAAGAAGAGCATGTGAACAAGAAACAATAGACTAGGTACCAGGGTAAGCACCGAGCTTGTCAAACAGGAGGCAATGACGATACGTTAGACTGGGCATGGTATTGACTTATGGCAGGCACAGATATGAGTATGAAGTATATACGGAAAGGTCATATCAGCGAGAGGACTCTGTTTCTGGGTATGATATTAATTCAAGGTAAAATTGCCAGCATTCCCCCAATCTAGCTTCTCTAGAAAAGAACACCTCTATCTGTCCCCGCCTACTACATTATGTGTTTATTGTATATCTTCAAAGAGAAACAAAACCACCTAACAGATCAAGCTTTCAATATTCTAAGTCCTGTTCCTTACACCTAAGGTGGATGTCACGCCCTCCCTCACATGGCAACATTGTAATTTGTAAACAAGTCAATTCATTCACCCCTGTATCCCTATTCTAGACTCATACAGAACTTTACCTCGCTCACGTGCTTTTGTTGCACATCGCAAATTCTTTGCAAACTCTTTACAAATTCTTTGCAAGCTCTTTGCAAGCTCTTTGCACGGTCTTTGCACGGTCTTTGTACGGTCTTTGTACAGCTTGAAATAGACTACTGTGAAAACAAGGCTTTTTGTTGCACGTCGCAAATCTTTGCAAGGCCTTTGTACAGCTTAAAAGAGACTACCTAGGTAGGTACTGTGAAAAAAGAATGTTCTGTTGCACATCGCAAAGTCTTGGCAAATCCTATACACGATCTTTGTACGGGTTGAAATAGACTACAGGTGAAAAGAGAATGTTCTGTTGCACATCGCAAAATCTTGGCATCCCCTTTGTACAGCTATAAAGATCTCTACACAAATGCCAAGATTTTGCGATGTGCGACAAAAAGTCAACCAAGTATATTCATGATTCACGTGATGGTTAAGAGGAGGAGGAGAGAAGGGGGGAGAGAGGGCCTGAGAGGGGAGTTTGTAAAGGTAAGGTACCTGGGTACCCAGGTAGGTAAGGTATATATCAAAAAAATTGGATGTTTTCTAATATCCCTAATTCCCATCCATCTATCCATCCCTCCCTCTCACCCATGAACTACCTTACTACCCAACATTTCCAAATATGCACAGCCAGAGATCCCAGAAGATTACTCCCGGAAACCACTCTCGAATATAGCTATAACTTCTCCTCAATCAGTGGCTACCAAGCTGCCGAGAAGCAGGAACGATTAGCAAGACCCGGAATGCTTTTCACACAAGAGCTATACGATTCTACTCTCTGTACTGTATAAGGAAGAAGGATAGATAGAGTAGGCAAGTACTTTAACATTTATTTTTTGTAAGGGATTGTCCCCTGTTTGAAATATAACAAACATTAACGCTAATGCACCATCATTGCATCATGAACCCCTTGTCATAAGCATCCCAAACGCCAGGTATCATCCCATCCTCCGTGACTTCTCATGTTATACACGTGTATGAGGATATATTATTTACTCATCCTCACCATCCGCGTCTTTATCAGACACCCTCTCAGACGCTACTCCCGCGAGCTGATAGGTAGCTCCTCCTGTCCGCTCAATGATCTTCTCATTAAGTGCCCAGGCAATAAACAGATCGTCACTTTCCTGCTGGATGCCTGACCCCTTAGTATGCGTCGTCTCCTCTAGATGCTTTGCGAGATGCTCCATGCGGTCATCCCAACAGCTGTAGCCCTCGAACAGTAACGTGCATCCTTGAGCCGGACATCGAAGAGTTGTAGGCATCTGACGGTTAGTTTGCCGACAGCTTGTCTGCAGCTCCTTGATACGCTCTTCCCATGCCGGGTTTTTCTTGTCTTGGCGCTTGACGGCAACGGGGGTGTGCATACGGCGGAGATGCTGCGTGAAGAGATCCTTGCGGTTGAAGGTAGCGCCTTTTGTCATGCTGCCATGCTTGGATGAGGAAGGAGAAGCGTTGATGCCGCATGCACCTTGCTGGCAGATCCAGGAATATAAACTGAGGTGCTTTGTCGAGACATGCCGTTTCCATTCATTCTTGCTCATGAACGTGCTCTTGCAACCAGCAAAACCAAATACACAGACAAGAGCACGTGGATGCGTGTTGTTCATGTGGAGTTGTAATGCGGCAGGGTTTTTGAAAGATGTGTTGCAGGCTTTGCATGTAGAAGATGATGGGGACTTGTTGGGCTTGACAGGCCTGCTAGACTTGGTTACGCGGCCGCGTTTGGCGGAGAATGAGGATGTAGTTTTGGTGGAATAAAGGGCGCGGCGTTTGCGGGTTCGAGTTGACTTGGGTGTGTACTCGGCGTCAGAAGCTTCTTCGTCAAGGGCCGCGTCGTATTCGGCGTCCACATCAGCATCCGCATCTTCATCGGTTTCGACGGGTGTCGTGACTGATTCTTGAGGGGATTCTGCGTCTTTGATCGATGCGCCAAGGCCTTCGTCACCGGCATACCAGTGATGGTGTTCTGCTTGTTGTTTACCCTCTGTCAATACTCGAGGTTCTACCTCAATCACGTACTCTGTTCCAGCTGTCTCCATGTATCCTTCGTCGGGTGCGAAAGTGGCATTTTGCAGATCGGGCAGCCCTTGGACTTGCTTCATGTTGACGCATGAGTATACACTATCCTGAGGGTAGAAAAGTGTCTGTGGTCGCTCGACCCATACGTTTGGAGGTCCTGGCGGAAAGTGAGATGCGCCACTGAGTTTGGACAAATAATCTTGGTCCTGGGAAGAGTAATAGGTATCAGAGTACCATTCAGGATCTGTCTCGGGGCTCCTGGCACTACTGCATTGCGAGGAAAGCTCATGGGAAAGTGAAGGTGAGGCCATCCGCGGGCCTGTTGCTCCCGGGAGGGAAGAAACAGCTTCGAATGATCCGTTCATATCAGGACGGTTGACACTCGGTCTGCTCGAAAGGGGTCCGGCTGTGAAAAAAGCTCTTTCGGGCTCGTTGACAAAGCGCTGAAGAGGTTGCTGATGCTGTCGCCATTCTGGATTGTGAAGGTTCTGAATTTGTCCTTGGTAGAGTAAAGGATCGAGGGTTTCGACCCACGTCTGTCCGACCTCCATGAAGTCTTGGCGGCGGTAAACTTGTTGGTTTGATGTGTTGCAACCAGGGAATGGCCGGCCGTTACTTTCCTCGCCATAGGGCGTATTATACTCCATTTTGGAAGTTGACAGAGTTCTCACCAATAGCTCTGAGGTACGCGCAGCAAGAGGTTCGGTGTCACTGTTGTGGAGATCGGATTGAGGGCAAGATATTGAGAGTATGTAGATTTTTTAAGGAGCCGAGCTACTCGCTATCAGCTTTATTCTGGATTTCGAATAAAAACCAACAAATTAAGCGGCGCTGAAATTCCAAGTGAATCTGGGTTTATACCATATATACAGTTTTGGCCTGCCCCGTCTGCATATACAGCGCGGGTGAATGAGGTCACTCACACTCAGTTGAAGCAGATGTTCAGAAGCAGGAGGCGAAGCAGATAAACCACAATATTGAAGAGGGGCGCAGCTCAAAGAGAGTCAAACAAACACAGAGGGTCGTCCTTATAGAGTCCGCAGCCCAAGCCCCAAAACCAATCCACCACCACCTGCCAGATGACTGGAAACATTAAGCTACGGCTGTCTTTGCAGAGCCGCACCACGGAGGCTTGTCCCGCGATCCCAAACTGCTCACCTTACTAGCACAGAATGTATATGCATACCCCTGCCAGGTGCTGGTCTTCATGACACTCGTCATTGGAAGCTGGGTTCACTGCGCCTCTTGTCTGGTAGGTAGGCCTTGCTCCTCACTGGCCATCTCGCTGGATTTCTCCAATTTGGAGGCTAAGGCACCAGACCCCAAGATTCCACATTGCAAACACGCAATTCATCTTCCAATAAGAGCGTGGTAAAGACGCTGAAGGGAACAAGGCGGACAAGGCGGACCAGACAGCCTCCAGGCAGCCTCCAACACCGACGGATCAGCAACGCTACTATGAGCGTTGAAGCGACCGGCACGACGTGTCTATCACTGGTATAGTCGGCGTCTCGGCGTACACACATATCTGGGGAACGATTCACCCCATCGTATCACACATGCCTGGGAAAAAGACTGTAGTGTGCGACTCCCAATCGAGCGACAAGCATCGTCTTCCAGCCCCCAATATCCATCCCACTCCAGATGGCACCCTCCAGATCCCGGCCGGAGCAGGGACCCCTACTACAGTCGGTGGCTAGCCCTAGGGCCCCCTCTCAGTTACACAGCCCTGTGTACTCCGTGTGAGTTGCGCGGAGAAGATGTCGAGCTCCCCGTGTCGTCCTGGATATGCGTGCGGCCGGCGCCTCGAAGCTCGAGGTTGCACCCCGTTTTCCCCAAATACATTTTCAAGCCGCTACGTGCCCGGTCTCCAAAGATCCACGGGTCGGGAGGAATGAAGATGATGTTCTCGAGATGCTGAGATGCTCGATTGCGCTGGTCTTTGCAGCCTCACTATGCGCGCTCCGCCCCGCATGGCTGGGGTCGCTATACCGCTAGAACAGACACGGACACCGGCGTCCCTGGTCAAGATTGTGGTGGCCGCTTCAGTCTCCCGTAATCGTGAACCGCGCGTACAGGGAGTAGTTGAGTCTTGTCGGAGAACATGGCTATGCCCTGCAGTGATCTCTCTGATCATGCTGCCCCCTACCCAATCGCCATCGCACCCCGCATACCCAAGTATTCGGTGTGAATAGGCGAATATGCTCCCGCTTCGGATGCTCACTCAGTCTCGGGACTCTCACCATTACTGGCAGCTTTCAGCTGCGGCTGAGCTTCATGATCTTGATTGGCGAGTCAAAGGGCATGATCTATTGTCACCGGCATCCCGCGGTAGAAAATTGTGGCATACTCGGTCACTGATGGAGGCGACGATGTGGTAAGACTTGCGGACTGCAGCCTAGAGTACATGGATCATTATAACGAGACATCCAAAGAACCAAGAAATCACGGCATATCTGCCTCCTACTCCGATTCATCAAATCATAAGATACTTTTTATACATGTCCATCATATCGTATCATGCGTGAGCTGCATCATTACATCATCAAAGAGCAGAGGATCCCAGGTCGAAGGAAGGGAAAGGTATAGTCGAGGAAATTTCGTCTGTAGCTGCATGCTTCAATCCAGACATATAGTAGGAATCATCTGGGCGCCGCGGAACAGTTGTCACAGAAGCGATGTAAATCATGGCACACGGTACACCTCTGTTCCAACCCGGGGTTATGAACGCTTCCACACTGGCACTGAGACTCACGTTAGCAGGGAGCAAACGATAGAATATCGAGGTCGAGATCCTACACAGTAAATAGTTTGCCCAACCAAAGGTCGCTTCGCAGGCCTGCCATCAACACTATTGGGGCCTCTCTTAATCCCCCTTTTATGATCTTCTGTGATGTTTGTTGAAGCTGAAGACTCTTCTGCCATACCTGAAGCTTTATTCAAGAGCCCCGAAGCCGGATTGGCCGGACATTTATCCAAAGTTTCTTGTCCAGCTGATGAGTCCGAATCATCAGGGGCGTATCCTTTGGGCTCATTTCTGTTTATTGGCACCCAATACTCAATACCCTGTTTTAGAAAGCCGTTACGTCCCATGAAATGGTCGTCGATATGATCGATGCGCTCAGCCCACGCCTCCAAACTCTTCTTTTTTAGATCAATGGTCCTGCGACAGAAACCACACCAGAAACGTGCCTGATAGTTGCGTCCAATATGATATGCGTCGACCTTGGTTTTGATAGCGTCAACGTCCGATATAGAGTGTTCTCTCTTCAGATGATCTAAGAAGGTCTGTCGGCGATAAGCCACTTTGGCACATGCACGGCCCTCAGGATTCTCCTCGAGACAGCGCCACGTCTCATGCTGGAAGTGCTGCGAATTTTCGTGTCGTTTCCAATCATTCTTGCTACCAAAGGTTTTGTTGCAAGACAAATAGGTGCAACCATAAGGCCGCGAGTGCCTCTTCATGTGCTTCCTGAGAAAGATTAGATTAGAATTACAGATAGTCGTGAAGACTTACTTCAATTCGGAAGGTCGCCCTGTGGTCTTCCCACACTTCTCGCAGGTAAGTGGGGTTTTACTCTGGTTGTTTATGGCTGATCCTGAACTATTGGGTTTGGGAGAAGGGGGTCCTGGGTCCTTTTTTAGGATATAGCCCTGGCTGCGAAGGGCCTGGATAACTTCTAGGGCCATCCTTTGTGTTGCAGCATCCCCTGAAAATTCGGGAGCAGGAGAAGAATCTGCCAAGTCAATATCAGACCGGGCGGTAGGCACTATAGAATCTAGCTCCAATTGACGCAAACTACTTGGAGAAGGCTTCCCGTCAGGAACGTTATCATGATGCATGGTGAGGTCAAGGTTCTGGTTTGCATTACTGGCGCCAACCAAGGCGGCTCTCATTACTTCGGCAAGCGTGGCGTCAGATGTGGGAATGTCGTGTCGACTTCCCTTGTCTTCGGAGTCGGAGTCGGGTTTCAGGTCATCCATGGCCGTATTTGGGCTTACGCCAGCTTTCTTAGGCTCTGGCTCCTCGAGGCTCACTGGGGCCGAAAGAATATGCTCCAATGTGGATCGATTCTCCCGCATCTCTGTTGGGGCTTTAAAAGACTTGAATTGTTGGATCGTCTCTTCAAGGGGAGAATCATCTGATGGAACTAGCTCAAGTGAAGTGGGCTTATCCAAATCTTCCGAGGGAGAGTCTTTAAGGGCCAGTAAATCTTGAGATGATTCGATCGCCTCCTCTGGATACACTGGTCCTCTATCAGATTCCATAATCGGAGGCCCGGGTAGACTCCGATGAAGAAGAGATGCTATTGGTAGCGAAGACTCCAGAAGAGAAGGCTTCTGGGGAATACTATCATCCTGGATACCGTTGGAAGCCATCGGTTCCACATACTCCGCGCTGTAATCCATCAGCCCCATTCACCACATCAAACCGGCATCACAGGTAGCTATTCCACTCACAGTCGTATCATTTCCTCGCGTTCTTCCTCGCCCAGCTGCTTGTGGACACGTTTCAGGTGACTCCGGAAATTATCAAGACGTGGCCAGTACTTGTCCTTGGACTTACATTCTTTAACATGGCAACGATATCTTTTCGCAGGCCCAGACCCTTGAAAAGCGGAAGGATGCTTGCTCTTGGTATGACGCTCCAAATCATTACTGGTGCTAAATCCTTCAGTTCTGGGGCAGTCTGGATATTGGCAAGTAAAAGGCTTCGTGTGGCGCAGTTGATGTTTCCTATACGTATAAGCCCCTTGAAAACAACAGATTACGAGCTCCATACTTCAGTTCAGACCGTGTCTTGGAGGGCAGGAAACAAGTTGGACAAATTAAAGTCTCTCTAGGTTGCGAGTCAGATATGGATGGGAGAGCTGCCCAACTATTGGAATATGCATCTTGTGCAACTTCGTTCATCCCTTGATATTGATGGAAGTCGACAACTGGGCCTGCAAGGCTTTGCCCATCTTGATCCCGGTCGAAAATATCACCGCTGAAAATGGAGGCATTACCATCACTGCGTCTGGTGGCAGTGGCATAGCCAGAATCCGACAGCGGGACGGGGCATGGGTAGATTCCACTATCTGATGGAAATTGCTGGTATTGATTTCCAACGAGTTGCGAGGAAAAACGACTATCCTTACGATTTCTTGAACTTCTCTCTTCGGGCACTGATGAGATACCCTTCGGTATCCAGGGGTCGTCATTTTTTAGACACCAGCTGGATATTGGATCCTGGGCAGTAACACGGACGTGGTTGTCCATTGGAACTTGTCTCGCCATGTTTAATGGGTCATACGACGGTATTTCTGTAAATCCATGGTATGGAAGGCTTGGAAAGCCAGTTGGCTCCCAACCAAGGGATACAGGCGCTGAAGGACTCGGAAGAACTCTTGAGCTATTAGGATCAATCTCAAGGACCTGAGGAGGATAGTTGAAGGTCGGTGGACCCATTTCCTGTCTGGATGGATACATTTGTCCTGAACCCGATAAGCTCGGGAGGACAAGAGAGGTATAGTTCTTAAGAACAAAACCCCATTAGATAACCGCCAAAGCAGGTTAGAACGTGGGAAATTCGTCGTACTGAAGGGGGAGCGAGGATATTTCTTGTTTCGAGCAGAAGTCGACGGAATTGGTAATACAACTTTGCAGCATTAGCATTAGTAGCTGGGGCATATGGTGAAAGGGAAGTAGAAATGACCTAACCGCTAAGAGATCCTCGAATGCAATACGGTTGGTGCCGGAACTTCAAGATCCTCGGGATCCCTGTCAGGCTGTCTAGGCAGACGAGGGCCAGCACACACCCAGATGTGGCCTCAACAGTGGGTAGGCAACCTTCGCGCTGGTGGTGTGCGGACAGAGCGAGCGACACTTGGGGTTGGGAAACATTAGCACTGAAGCATATGGGAGTGTAGGAATGACGGAGGGCGTGGTCCGCGGGAGAGGAGGCGTGGCAAACCTCAACAAGACATCGACAAGGCAGATTTGAGGGACTTTATTTCTGGCGATGCCGTGGCCTCGTGATGGCAATCAAGGCACAGACAGATTGGCCACAGTCGCTTGACGAGGAATGCGCGGTACAGTGCTACTACGGCGTAGCGATAGGGCAGAGGCACAAAGGCAGGGCGGGCATCTGGGACGAGGCGGTTCACGAATCACAAGTCACGGCAGGATAGTATGAGGATGGACGGAGGACGAAGAACGAGGCGTTTGGTGTTATTGGATCATTGGACGGACTGCAACTGTGACGGTGGAACCGTGGACGGTGCTCGGTGAGCCTTGACTTGGCCTGAGACTTTGGATTTTGGGCATGGGGATAGCCAACAGACAGGCCTAGCCCTGGGCGCGAATCCCGGAAAGCGGACAATGAATCAATGACGGTATCAGTAGTAAGGTGCAGTGGCAACAACAAACAGCACTCGCTGATCTTCTCTGTTCTGTTCTGTAGCGATGGATTGCACCCATGTACAATAGGTACAAAAGAGGTGGGATGATGTAGATGTAGATGGAGGATGGAGATGAGAAGGGCGAGGATCTCTCTCTGCCTTGGAGACCGGATGGAGGCCTCAGGACATAAGTACTTATCACGTGCCAGTTGTCGCATGCCCACTCTCACGTGCCCGCAACGTCTTTCTTGCTGCCTGAATGCTGCCTCGATGCCAAGGTAGAGTACTTCGTAAAGTCCTACTACCTTGGACATTCGACTGGCAGTCCATCTCGGATCATGGGTCTGGACACCTCAAGCCCAATCTCCGATGTTGATCTCATTTTTCGTATGGAGCAAGGTTTGCTCCTCAATACCTCTGTCTCCCAGTGGAGCAGCACGGCCTATATGCATTGCAGCTCGAGAGACAAGTGTCAAGACGACCAGTTTGGCAACCCAATGGGTCCTCCTCTCCTCCCATCCTCATCATTGCCGCACGAATCGCCCTAATCCACAGCCTTTTGCTTCCCTTTCAGTCCATAGCCAGCGTGCTCAAGCAGTCCCGGAGAATGAACAAGGTGTCAAGTCCCCCAACGCAGCACAAGTCGTTGGACCAGTCGTCCTGACTCTAGACTCAGTGGAAATCTTCTGTATTACATCAATGTGCCCAGCCTACTCCGGGCATCCACCGAAGGCTGCACCCGAGAGATCACTACCTGATATCTTCCTTTACGGTTGAAGCTGAAGCCAAAGCCGACGGGTAGAATGGCAAGGGTAGCATTCCGCGCCCGAGTACATCGATTTCTTGGGCCTTCATCCAAATGCCACTATCTGGTGGAGACTGGATTGCTACATGTGAGAATATTAGTATCTCCAGATCGTACGAAGCGACCAGACCAACAGCGACATCGAAACGCAGCTTCCCGGACATATCTTGCCAATCATCCAACAGCCTCCCCCCTGATGTTTGTATGCTGTGTGGCGCGTGAACACCTACAGCCCCAAGATCTCACCGCAGGTGGTACCAATGCATTCGATCCGGCACGCATCTCCTTTCGGTCAGGCAAGCAGGTCTTCGGCCAAGGGCTTCGTACAATAACCCGCCCTTGCGCAAACACCCATGCTACCACATTTATCTCGTGGGATACCAGATCTGCGAGAGATCCCTGGGCCTCAAATGCTCCGAGTTGTAGTAGTAAAACGTGATTTGTGGTTAGTCTTAGCTATTTCGCCCGTTCAAATCTCTAGTATACACAGTTCTGGGTTAATAGCAACGTCAAGGAACGTGCTATGAATCCATGGTGCTTGCTTGTCACATTGTCGCGATACTTGAATATTGGAGAAGCAGGACCTAGGCCCGGCCCGAACCCCATCCAAGCCATGCCTGTCATGTGTGGAAAGCTTCCGCGTCGATCTGCTCTCCATGTTCCTCCAGCCCTCCACGAAATAAGCGCTCGTTACACCCATCCTTAATAGCTTCCAGTAACCTGGTTAGATTCTTATTGCGCCAGCGCTTTCAAACCAGAATCGGATTCGGATTGTCAATATAGCAGGCATCCTCAAAGATTCTGTCACATCTCACATTGCTCATCTGGACGCCCGACCCCCCTCTTTCAACTTGAATTATTCAAAGCTGTCCCGTCTGCAACGAGTCCTCGAAAGTGTATCTTTCATACCCTTGCTGCATTTTTTTGTATTCCCCCATTGTCGGATCCTCGAATGTCTTCTTCACAAATGTCTCCATGGCATCCATTTTTGCCAAAAGAAAATCTAAAATAAAAGCATTCAAAATTAACTTCGAGAACTTGCCCACTTATCTTTGGTGTTAGGACCTGATTGCTTTTGGTACCTTTTTTTCCGTGGCTGTTATGCATTTGATGGCAGCTATCCCATCTTTTTGCCAATCGCTCTGTCGGTCCCAAGATCTCTGCATCGAGTTGAGAGAAGGCCTGTACCCGGGTACACATTGTGCATTGCCGGTGCTAGAGCAAACTTCTCAAGATGGGAAGTAATAGCTTCTAGACTCTGCCCGAAGCACATGTATTGCTCTGGGCCATGGCATAGGAGTCTGAGATCTGATATGCTATCGACAAATATGGCATATGGACGACGATCTGGTGTTATAATTGAAGCCACAGATGAGTTACGAGAACTTCCTACTGGACCCTGAAAGGTTATAAGACGACTATTTTCCCAGTCGATGACTCTTCTTTATCGAAGCCTCACTTTCTCTACAGTCCTGTTTCTCTCTGTGCGTCTATCCGTCGAAAATTTAAATACTACTTGTATTCGAATACCATCTGCAAACCCATCTCACATTGCACCAGCGGATCTATTTGTAAATCTGCAACGATTCATCGCCAATGTTCAATTCTCACAGCTCTCCAGGTAACCGCCGCAGAAACAAACTTCGTTTGCGACCCCACACCTACCCCACCGGGCCGCCACCGCCAGAAAGACCTAACGGAGCTGAGTTCAATTCCAGCCGCTGGCCTTGATATCCAAGCAAGCAGAGGAGTCTGCAGTTCGTCTCCCTCTCCCTCATCCCAAAATCTCCGTTGACCAGTATGATTGGTGCGTGCAGCATCTCCCACGCGGAACCATGTGCGATTACGAGGAATTCCACTACGCCTGTGGGCACGTCACCAGCCAGCTCCTCTCATATTGCCACTTCGCGCGCTGTGATCCATACCATCAGTGCTTTGGCGTGAAAGTCACCAAACAGGCCTGGCAGAGGAACGCGACGTGTCCGCTGTGCCATGATGCTGCTGCGGCCTCGAAGAGGACCTATGTCAAGGCCCGTCATTAGAGCTCTGATTCACTGGTGGGAGGACAGATTTGGAGCACGGGTGAGACTGTTGTTGACAAGGGGCTATCAGGAAGGCGGGGTTGGTGTGTTTGACATGGTTTCTATGACGATTGCTTTCTCCGGTAATGTGTAATGTGTAATGTCAGTCCTTTCCGGATTATTCCTGGTGAAGGAGATTGTGTTCTATATTATGTCGAAGTTTTGCCTGGTCGCGTTGCATGGCAATGGAGATTCCTTTCCTCTGTATGTCTGAGTATTAACTTCAAGATAACTCCCTAGTATACAATCCAAAGGTGTGTAACAATTATCACGCTAGTCTTCACGGGAGATACGAGGGGTGATGTTACCACCTGTAGCATATTGTTAACGTTTCAACGTCCCGTGTCACGCCAGCATCACTAAATCACTGTCTGATCTGGAAATCCAATATATTGTGCAACTGAAATAAGCGCTTTCTTTCATGCCCCTCAGTGGGATCTAGTTGATACTAGTCGCCCTGTCATGCACCTCCCGGACGTTCTACCTGCGTACCAAATCGAGTCAAGAGTGCTACCAAACCGAACCCTATGCCGCCGCTCAGCACGCGATCTTCAACTGCCAAGGACATCAACGCACGGCGGAATTCACTGGCGCTGTTCGCCCGTCCTTGCCCTTTTTGCGGTCTCTATTCTCATCACTTCCTTGTAACATCATGCACTCGCCTCAACTCCCTTCACATAAGCAGCATGGCAGACTGCGTCCCCTCTGTGAAATATCATGGATGGAATCAGAGATTCGCTGCTCCCTCGACAACGCCCACGATGTTGTACCGCTTGGAAAAGTATGTGAACCAATCGTCTAGTACCTTCTTCTCGTTGTCGGGCAGGTCAGCCCATTCGGGCGAGACGTCTTCGGCTTTTGTGCTGGTCTTTGCGAGGGCGCGGGAGGCATCGTGCCCAGCGAATACTGTGAAACGATTTCGTTAGTTCCGGAAACGTGTTTTATATACAATCAATATAAAGATTCTGTGGAATATGCTGCTGGAAAAGTAAAGTCATGGATAGAGGAATGGGAAAAGTGATTGAGTGGGGGAGAGTAAAGAGGGGTGAAGAGGGGCAGGAAGACGAACCGTGGTAAGAACCTCCTGGTTGATAGGCTTTATTGCCCGTCACATCAAAGACTTTCCCTTTGATTGCGACATAGCAGAGAGCGCCGTCCACGCCTATTCGTGTATAACAATTAGAGATTTGGAAGCGTAACTAGTCGTGTTTGAGTGCGCACCGGTGCATTGAGAGAGGAACTCCTTGGAGATAGGGTCGTCCTTTGGAGGGTTGAGCTTGACGGGAACTTTGGGCTCGAATTTGCCTGCCATGGTGAAAGGAGTTCTGGGGAAGTAGATCGAGGAATGCTGGATTGATTGTATATAGGTATATTATTGAGAGCGGTTGGGGATAATCATGGAGGAGAGTTTGGGACCGAGGAAGTGGGGTTCGTAGCGTCAGTCGGGGTTGCAGGGTAAGGTACTTTTGGCGAACGTGATGATGAGCTGAGCTAATGCTTTCCTGGCGAAACCGAAGCTTCAACACGTCTTTCTGGTTATCCATGAACACCGATTGAGGTCGATAAAAGCTACCCGGAAACTGCTGCTATCTCTCTCTCTTCCAGGGTATTTGTTCTTGGCCTTCAGGATGTTTGCACCTCGACTTGGAGCCATCGGTCGCCCGGCCGCAAATCGTGCTTCGCAATGCCTTCGGACAGGACGAGCAGAAGCTGTTCCTAAGAGCTCAGTACCATCCCAGGCACAGCGGCAGAGATATCAATCGACTTCTCGGATAAGCACTGGGCCTTCCCAATGCCTCCGCCGACCACGACAAGAGATGCCCAAGAGCAGGATCCCGGGACAGCGCAGACATGAATCCACCTCGACGGCAAAGGCAGCCAAAGCTCTCTTCAAGGCATATCCGTACTCTGTAACTGCAGCCTTCGTCTTGTATTTACCACCTAGCTTGGATTATGAAAGAGCGCAGTGCTAACAAATATTGACAGTATCCTCTGCGGAGCAGGGACACTCCTGTATTCTAACTATATCTACCACAACTACATCATAGGGGCCTTCCACAAATTCCCTCAACCCGTCGCCAAACAACTTCGCAAAGCCCTCTACTATACCAATATTTCCTTGGACCCGAAACTCGCCGTGAAGTACTACCGCGAGGCTCTCCGTGTCGCTGATGAGATTGGCATGGACCCCTTCTCGGATGAGATCATCGGCGTGAAGATCCAGGTGGCAGCTTTGATGGAAAAAGTCCAGCAATATCAGAAAGCTATCGATATTCTGGAAATTGTGAAGAGTGACAATATGAAGTGGGTTGAGCAACTGGGCAACGTGCCGGGGAATGAAGGGAAGAGGACCAGGGTCCTAGGGAAGACAGTGGGCGTTAGTGTGAAGCTAGGAGAGCTGTACGCCAACGAGTACGTGATGCAGAAGGATAAGGCGGAGGAGAATTTGGTTTGGGCAGTTGAGACGGTGGTGAAAGAGCAGCAGAGACGGGAAAAGGAGGGTGTGAAACCTGGTGAGGGAGATTGGATGAGCCCAGAAGAAAATGGCGGGACTTTCGAAGGTGAGTCTGAATTCCTGAAGAAACAGGATTGATATTAACATCCTGTAGCGTTGGGTCATCACTACGAAGAAAAGAACCAGCACTACCTTGCTGCTCCCTTGTTTCTCCAGGCTCTCACTCTGGCTCCGCCATCGAGCTGTCACACAGCTGTCTTAAGTAGGCCCTTCCGCCCTTCTCTTCCTCCGAAGCAATGCTAATAAAAGTTCAGTGAACAACCTTTCTATCTCTCTGGCCCAGCAAGATCCACCAGTGACGCCCGGTGAAAAACCGGTATCAAGATCCACTCTCGTCGACAATGCCCGAGCATGGGCAGAAAAGGCAATAGCAGTAACAGCCAAAATCTCCCCTCCGGAGAGGACAGAAGAGTGTGATATAGCTTGTGCTGTTGCGACCCATAATTTGGGCGAGTTTGCGGAAATGAATGGCAAGATCGCGGACGCTAGAAAGCAATATGAGGAGGCGAAGGCCTTAGCAAAGGGCATTGGTTTTCAGGAGGGGGTAATCAACGCAGAGGAGGCTCTGAGACGACTTCAAAACGCGTGAGGCAGTTATTGTTGCCGTTAGCTGGTAGGCTTTTGATGTTCTTGAGGCTTTTGTGGATAAGCTAACTTGGAAGGAGTTCAAGGTGACATAGAGGTTATAATATCCGAGAGGCCTTCACTAACTGAAAAGTGTCCATGGGGTATTACCGGTATACCTCTTCGCCTGGATCAGAACTCGAGTAGCTTTCAATAAACGATATTGCTGGCTCAATTCGGGCTTCTTGCGTGAACATCAGGGATATCAATGCACATTTGATCAGTCACCAAGCTTCCTTGAAATTGCGACGTCTATCTTGACGAATTCCCACATAGATACACAAGATGGAGCTTTTGTTACCATCATCCAGACATTCAAATTCAAAGATCAACATCCTTGGTTCCAATCTCAGCTATGCTGACGAATTCGACAGCCGCTGTTGTTCAACACACGACGTATCCAAACTCTCTTATACCCCTACCAGTGAAGCTGATGCTCTTGAAGGCGTTCAAATACACCTGGCTGGTGTAGGCGAAGGGACAATGAATGGGAGGGAGATGGATCTGAGTCTTGATCAACGATGCCTTCCTCTCCTACTAGCGTGCATTTGCGGCGCAGATGACCCTGATTATGATGGCATTACTCCCAGCGATTGGGCTCACATTGGGCTCAGTGGTATTTGTTCATTGGGTGCATTAGATTGCAGGTATGGACCTTCACGCCTGCATACTGAGCCCCAGAGATCGGCCACTATAAACGTGCCAAGGTAGTAATGTTGGACTCTTGAATTGTTGAAGCTTTCTGCGGATTTGGCAGTGTTTTTGCGGATTACAGTGTATACATTTCGCCGGACATACCGGATCTATATCTTCTTGATATACCTACCACTCCTTTGCATCTCTTTTCCTCGTTCGACTTCAGGGGGAGATGTTACTAAGCTCAAACTCGACTCAGGGACAAACCCTCCACAGGGGCAACCACGTGGTTGGTCCCCTGCCCGGCGACATTATTACCTGCAATCAATGAAGTTCTAGCCAACCATCGACGCTTCTTTACTAACCCCACACATCCGGTGTTTCGAGTATATGCTGAAGTCATGGCAACGGTACGGTTGGTCGGGCTGGTTGCTCCGGAGAACGAAGAGAAATGGCTTTACGAAGTACGAAGTACGAGTACGCAACCGGTACTTCTACTGGCGGAGTGTGACCAGCCACAGCCCCTTTTAGCGTGCACAGCCTCCTGGCCTCGGTTTGGTTTTCTCGGGCCGGAACTGTGGCTGGACTTCAACCCTAGACTGTATCTGGAATAGTGCCATGCCCGGCACGTCATGGCTCATCAGCGGGTTACGCGCGATTGTGGCTGAGGGTCAGGGGTATCTTCTGTTTTTAGTAATTTTGATATTTCATTCGTATTTTGAGCGGTTTTTTTTATTCCCGTGAAGCTATTCGCACCTATGTTACCGTATTATTACTATATTTGACTAAATAGGCTTCGTTTGTCATCATATGGCTGGGTCTCGAATGCCGAAGTATAAAATCCTTCCGGAGCCCTGTTCCATTTCCCCTTCCATACCGCCGCAACTCACCTTGACCTTCCCTCAGACAACTCTCTTTCACCTCTCTCGTTCTCTAGAAACTTCAATTCAACTGAAACTACACAGTCACTCCCAGAATGCGTTACTCGACTCTCCCTGTCATTGCTACGGCCCTCTTGGCCTCCACATCTTCAGCCTTGCCTCAAGATCCAATCGGTAGCGTCTTGAATTCGGTGACCTCCTTAATAGGAGGCGGTATCCAAACTGGGATCTCGGACATCGGCGGCGCGCTTTCCACGGCTTCAAGTGTTGTAGGGGGCGCTATCTCGACCGCAACATCAGACGCGGCTGGAGCCATCTCGACCGGTATCTCGTACGCCTCAGGCGGAATCGAAACAGCGAAGTCCTACGCCAGCGGAGCGATCTCGACAGGGACATCAGATGCAGTCGGGGCATTCTCAACAGCAACATCAGACGCGGCCGGGGCCATCTCGACCGGTATCTCGTACGCGTCCGGCGGAATCCAAACAGCGAAGTCCTACGTCAGCGGAGCAATCTCAACAGGGACATCAGATGCCGTCGGAGCATTCTCAACAGCAACCTCAGACGCGGCCGGTGCCCTCTCTACCGCTTCAAGTCTTGCATCAGGAGCAATCTTCACCGCTACCCGCGAAGCCTCTAGCGCCATCGCAAGCTTGAGCAGTGTCGCGGCCACGGCTACAGGGGAGGCACGCAGCAGCGCTCTGTCTGCCATGAGCTCAATCAGCAGCGAGGCGAGACAAGGAACCAGCAGCATCGAGTCCGTGGTGGCGAGTGCGACTAGCGCGGCGGCTTCCTCGACCAGTACCTCGAAATCAGGAGCCATGAAGACGGATGCACCCGTGTGGGGAGCGGTCATGATCGGCGCGGCTATGTACATGATCTAAGATGGAGGGGTCGCTGGCCATAATCACGATAGGATGATATATCAAGCGTTGTATTTTAAAAGACTCTGTCAACAATCTCGGAGGAGAGAATTGTACCAAAATTGTATTATAATAGTTAGTTAGGAAATGGCGGGGTGGTCTAGAAGCACCTACGTTTAATTCACCCTCTCTAAGCTTCTATCTTTCTTCCTTTACGTGCCTGTGCTCATACTACTCGTGCTGCCCGAGTCATGCTTCTTGCCACATCTGCTTTCTCCGGCGAATAGATGATAGAGCCTGCTAATATAGCAGCAGCTTTACAACTAAACGTCACAGGAATAACTGCCACCGGCCCTCATGTTCTAACTCAGGCAAATGTGCACGAAGTATTGCAAGATACATCAATAATCCGAGCACTAAAGTTCCCATAGACGCTACTGCAGTTGGAAACGGCCATCTCGTTTTTAGTTACTATTGAAAGTTCGTCCTATTCTTTGCTTCTATAGTATTGCCTTTACAAAAGCTAAAGACCGGCGGTTTCCAGAACAGCCCAAAGGTGGATGGATCCAGAACGGCGTCGCTGGGCAGATGACACCCCTATCACTCTGCCCGGTACTGAGGTTTCTAAGGAGTGTTTAGACGCTTGGGAGACTCTTAGGAAAGAGTCGGTAACGCCCCTCAGCTGGCCTTCCCCGACTTCGACAAACCATTTATCCTCTACACTGATGGCAGCGGAGCCGTTCTACACCTCTCACTTCTTCCTCACACCTCTATTATTCAATACCCATCATCATCGACAAAAAGTTCTTTACATTGTCATTTTCTATCACTCGCTGCCAAGATTCATTACGTTGTCGTTTTCTATCTATCACTCGCTGCCATTTGAATTAAATCCACTGTTTGTCAATTCTCAAAGCTTCACTTGTGCTCCTTACTTTACTTGATGATACTCTGGCAAAAACTATCTAGTTGTTGATGTCTTCTGTCCAAAAGAATGCCCCCACGACAGAAATCGTGAGTCGTAACTCGTGACCTCATTATTGCTCTATTTTACATTTAACCCCTATAGCCTAGTACCTCCTAGCTTAGGATATCCGAGTATTCTGTTACATATATGTACAAGCTTTATGTCCTTTTGTTAAATCGTTACTTGTTTAGTATAAATCGCGGCGAGATTCGTTACTATATGTTGTTTGATTAGTATAAAGATTAGTATAATAGATCGAATACTTACAAGAAAACTCGGTCGTCAACATCGCTTCTACAGATTCTTGTAATGCCTCTACTGCGCTTCTTTAGACTCAAAAGTCCGGGCGTATCTAGAGCATGATTTCTTTTACTAGTCTTGCGAAAGGGGCCCGCGGGATCAAAAGATCTGCGCTCTTTTGATATTTTTTGATTTCTCTTAGCGCTATTGCTATTGAATTTGTTAGTAGAGTTTTGCTATTGTTGTTATTGTTGTGATGCCTGGTTTAGGTGATGGTACTTGTGCAGGCACGTTCTTTCCATATAGGAGAGGGATCTTGGTTGAAAGTTGAATGAATCGCGATCATTGCTTCATTTTCTACCTGTAGCTGAAGCCACTGGAGCTAGTAGTGGTCGTAGCACCAGCAGCGGGATTGTTGGTCGTAGCACTAACAGTAGTAATGTGGTAGCTGGCATTGTGACTTGTAGGAGTCAGAAGAACTTTCGGACAGGGGGAGGTAAGTCGATGTCTTGTGATGGCAAGAGGGATACCAAGTGGTGTTGTGTGGCCGTTGAAGCCAACTATGGGTCATACGCGTCGAAGAAGGCGCCTAGGTCACACGCCGGTACTATAACACACGACCATTCTCTATAGAGAGGAAGTTGGTCTGGGTTGTGGCACAAGAAGTCTGTTTAAGTCGGAACTGTTACGCAGGATTTTGATGTTACGCAGGATTTTGATATCCTTGTGAATTGCCGTAGGCCCGCGTCTTTAGAGGCGAGGTGGTGCGAAAATGGCACCGTTAGAAGGGTGAACTGACTGTACAAGTGAAGTCAGAGTCTAGAAAGAAGCCAAAGGCCATAAGAAGGTACGGCAAAACAAAGAGGACCGCGAGAACAGTGAAGCCGAGCGTAGCGTCTGCTACTCCTTCGGAGAAAGTCAAATTTGATGCCATTTTGAATTCTTTCTTTGTGTCGTAGGGTCTGAATTACAAGTGGTGTTCGCTCTGTTGAGGCTCACGGAAATGGATGTCCGTGTCCGGGGATTCTGTATGAGGTGTGCTTCGTCGCACACAACTCTATTAAACTCGGCCTGGAAGAGCGACTTCCATTCCAGCTTCTCGTCTACTGCGTCGGTATCTTCGTCTTCGGGATCATCATTGGTGAGGGTAGCCCCAGGCAGCCCCTAAGTCCGTCCCATGATACTCGTTCATATCATGTATATAGTAACGTCGGGTAGCTTGATCAATCCACAGCTCTAACACAACGATCATCAAGGATTGCCCCTTACATGGTAGCACGCCTTCCTTTTCTTCCCTGGCTGCCTTTCTCCGACGTCGTCGACGTTCTCATCCTGTAGGACCTTGTCTGTCATGTCCTTCATTTGGGCGTCTAGTGGCCCCCGGTCGCAGCAATACTCCTTGTACATACTTCCTGGTGTTGCTAGCCCTCGACCTCATCTCCTGCCTCGACCGACTACATCAACTCTTCAACCTTCTTTGCGCAATTCGTATGTACGGCGTCTCGGGGGTCTATATGGCGTCTCCTCTTCCTCGCGGGCCCGACAGCGTTTAGTAGAACTACTCGTGCTGGCGTCAGGGGTCTCTTGTATAGTAGCCACTTTGAGGTGCCTGTTATGGACTGGGTCGTCTCGGTAGACGTAGGGCCTTTCTATCATGTAGCACGGTATTTTTGATGGTAAGACCGTGACGATAAGATCGAAAGATTGAGGCTTGGTGAACTGTTGTAAGACTGCGACGACCTCGATGATCCAAGCACTGTTTCCAGAAGTAACTCCAGTTTTTTGTGTCCTAAGGTCACTCGATTATCAAGCATGCCATGGTAGTTATCTAGCCATTCGTTGTTGATTTTGGCCTCCTGTAGGCTAGTAGTCACATAGTTCTCTTGAATACCTTTAAGAGTCTTGAACAATAACTGATAGGATTGCAAGTATTCGTTTTCTGGGGCTGACCATTTGGCGGTAGGGCTTTGCTGAGACGAGAACTCCACCGCCATTTGTTCGGATTCATTCCGTGTTGGCACGATCGTCGCTTTGAGGCTCATCTGCCCGTAGCTCTACACGGAACAAGAACCCTAGTGAGCCACTGATCAAGTCGTCCCTCGTGACGTCCTGGTATAACGGTAGACGCTGCTCTGATATGGTTGCAATACTTTTAATCAGAGTAAAAGTTCGCTATTGTTATGCAAATGAAGAAGGCGTCGTCGAGGTCTCGCTAGACTAGGATCTCAGCGGCGCTCCCGATATCTTGATGCTATCAACGGGTTGTTAAAGTACCTGAACCATCTGTATAGTTCCATTGGTGTGTAATATAGCATTCTCATTATTGTCCAACTGGGGGATGCGCTTCCTGACTATCCTCTGGATCATTGCCAACTGTGAGTTCTGGGCGTCATTAAACGCCTGGTATCGCTGTCTGTCTCGTTCCAGGCCTGTATATGGTTGGCCTTGTCTGTGCAGCGGATCATCCCACATAAGGAAAAGAACATTCTTTATTCTATAATAAGAGGCTAAAGAATGCCTTCAACTTTTGCCGGGTCTCTGGGGATTCATCCGTTCGAGACCAAGATCAAGGGTTGCGTGACATAGACGTCGATGTCTGGCTACGTTCATGAAGCCTTCTGCTCCCCCTGATCCGACAATCAGCGCGGCGGTGTGAATCTTGAATACCTCCGTATGATCTTTGAGTAGCTTAGGGGCGAACTCCAACTCTACCGTACGAATACGATAATGCGGAATAGCACCTGGGCGTATTGGATCGAGTTAGTCGCGTTAATAGTTATTATCGTAGCTATAGTCCGTCGTATCTAGACCCGGCGAGGATAGCCAGAAGTAGAAGATTCGTCGCCGACGTATAGAATATACCCTTATGAGCGAATGATCAAAATACGACAGGAGCTTAAACATATAGCTTTTGCCGTTTTGTTTCTGCTTTTGGGATAGCGTTCAGTGAATTAGTGTCGTCGGCCTTTGGTAGGTACGAGGTAGGTCGAAGTCGTCGCGGTATATGTCTCCATGGTCTTTGAGGTCTTCGTGCGGTTTTTATAATGAGGCAGCGATTGCTGTCTCGTCTTACCCGTGCCGGTTATAGCGAGCCTCGGGTGATTTCTTCAACGTCCGTGTTTGTTTGTGCTTGTTTTTGGGCTTGTTTTTGGGCTTGTTGGTAAGGACCGTAAGGTAGGTAGTACTTTAGTACTGAAAAAGCCTTTCCATTATTCTAACCACCATCTTGTTTCGAATCCCCTCTCTCTAGAAGTCTCAACACTTCTAGTTTTGCGGCACTAGTAAGCACACAGCAAGGATGACTATCGCGTGTCTTCCATGGCCGATGTAGCGATTATCCCTGGCTACTTTAAGTCCTGTGAATAGGGCCTAGTAATAATACCAAGGGGTAGATATTAGGTGTTGGGCATGATGTAGAAGTGCGAAGGAACCAGAGATAGGATGCTGGGTCCGAAATAAAGTAATAACAGAAACAATCGAAAGGTACTTGGTGCTACGACGAGTAATAGGTTAGATAACTTAGGTAGGTTCCCTGGATCGATCTGATGGCAGAAAGACGATGATCTTGGAGAGAGCCCGGAGTCGGTGACTCAGATCGTGTTCTGGGGAATCGGATGATATCGCAGAGCATTTCTATAGCCTGTCGGTACTTCTGACAGGTAATATTCTGCGATATGCTTTTGGTGTTCTATGACGAACGTTTTGAGGGTTATGAGCTCGGCATCTACATGCCTTCTCTGTCTTACAGCATTTGGAGGCGCATCATGTCCACTTCGTGCTGGATTGTGAGTCGTGATTTAGGGCCTTGGAAGATGTTGCTGAAATTCCGGAATCTGTTATCTCTGTGGTAGGTCACCATAGTCCATTTGGCCCAGATCACATTGGGCTGAGGAGCCCTTCTTATCTCGTAGGATGGATACGGTGAGGTAAGGTAGTCGACCCAGGGGGGTGTCGAAGGTCGCGGGTCGATACATTGTTGTCTTCGAGCTATATCGTCCAACGCTTTGTTGATTTCTTTCTGTAATTGCGAAATATCCAGGGCTGTTATCTTCAGAAGCTTGTGAAGACCCATGAAGCCGTTGAATTCAGCTGCTTTTGCATGCCGGAGCACTTCTGCCGTAAATGCACGGAGACTCCGGTCTGACTTGGCGTCTTCTATTGTATACCTTTTTTCCTGCAACTGCCGAAGTGTTGCTGAAGCTGGTGCTTCCTTAAACCTCCTGATGAGAGCATCGGTCCACCGTGCCCTCTGAAGACCCATTCATCTGAGTCCTCTTGACTATCCGGATTGCCCTGACGCTGCGCCATTTCGACAATCTCACCCCTTTTTTTTGATGATCCCGCTCCGTCTGGCTAATATGCGTTCTGGCATAAAGTATTTGAGCAAGAATGCGAGGAATCCTTGCTGATACTGCGTTGTCTTTGGTACATCACCACGTCCAGAATAGATTGAGCTGTCGAAGTCTTCAAGTCCCCAGCATTACTCCTTCATATATTTTCCCGTCCTCTTATAGCTGCTTCTCGTCTTTTGCCAAGAGACGTGCAAGGTGCCGCCATAGTGTCCTTCTTATTGTTGCTTTATCACCTCAACGGTGATTTGTTCCAACGAGGAATTGTTTCCAGTACTACTGTACTACCAAGTCACCGCCGGGAGGTAGTGTCCGTAACCCGCGAACGGCTCGAAGATGTGCTGAATAGGCATATGTATAGCCTAATGTCCTCAACTTCGCGTTTGGTTGGTTTGGGTGTGGTGCTACCAAGACTCGTGTAGTTTGGTAAGGTATGTTTGTTCGTGTTCAGGAGTATTTTCCTTTTTCTTGATGGACAGAGCCTGGAGGACTAGGTCTAGAATAAAAATGTAACAAAGATAAGGTAGGTGGTAGGAACGCAAGGTTCAAAGATGAACAAGGGCTAATGCCACTCCGAGTTATTGTTTTTGTGAGTAGGTAGGTTTTGTGAAGTGATTCAAGAATCAAGTGAAGGGAGCTTCAAGAATAAATTGGGTTTCCATAGATATATATAATGGAAGAAAGGGCTCTTCTAGAAAGATATATAGCATTTTTGAAGTTCATCAAAGAAGATCTCTCTATGACTCTTGGGGGAACCAACGTGCTTTGATCGACTTCTATTTTGTGGTGAGGAAGTCGGTGGGGAAATAGCGAGAATAGGAGGTTAAACACCAATTAAGCGAAATGCTCAGGGGCACAGGAACACATCTGGATCGCAAAGATCGCGCGAGTAAAAAAGAGAGCGTATTGTATAAAGAGGGAAGAATAAACTAGACTGTACTGAAAGTTGCCAATCTTGTATTATACATTCAAAAATCCCAGAAAATTCAATTATCCATAGCGCTTGTATTGCCAACAGGTGAAGAAAGCTTCGATTTCGGAGTGCTCTTCGGGTATCGAGAACGAGCCAGGGGGTGAATTCAAATTCTGGATACAGTTGTAATTGGATACACGATCCCGTTCGGATCCATCTTGGTACCCCTTAGAGGAATTAGAACGAATCTTAATATGAAGGGCGATGCGAAAACATCCACGTTTTTGATGGTAACTTACCTTAGGCCTGGAAAATGCTTGTTTACATATTAGTCCTGTTCTGGCCATAGGTCCTACTCCGGTCCAAGTCGGAATCGACGGTTGGATCTAGGCGGTTCGCGAAGTCAGAGTTCTAGAGAAGATTAGTCGGTTATTTTCAAGACTGGGACTGTTGAAACCCACGTGAGGACTGCAGATAGGTTAGCCTCTGTTCGACAAGCTTTAAGAAGGGTTAATGATGCTTACCCAGCTGTGTTCTGAGCTGTTCCGCTTCCAGGGGTAGCATGGCTTCCTGACGCTCCCATGAAACCTCCCTTCTCAGCGCCGCGTCTGTTTCCACGGTGGTCCAAATCACTATCGACACGCTAGAGATCACCGTCAGAAGAGAGGAATGAAATTCGAATCGAAGGTGGACTTACTGGATCCAACTTGTTGGCTAAGTTCGACTGTAGAATATTAATTAGCATTCAATAAAGGAAATCCTGGTTTGTACTCTATAGGCAGAGCGCGATCAATAATCAAGAGGAATAGGTGGTACTTGCATCATGAGGGCCTATGAATATAGTTAGCCAGATTCTATGGATTGTATGGCATGGAAGAGTATTGCAACATGCAGCAGCACTAGAAGGCATGTTTCAAGTGTTCAGGCCCAAAAGGCCAGTTACAGGAAGACGAACCTGCGTTTGTTGAGCTTGAAATGCCACCAGTGGCTCCAGTTTCTCTCCTAGAGTGGGTACCACCATATCCCGTGGTGTCGGTTCCTCTGTATCCTGTCGTCCCAGTAGTGCCGGTGCTATCATAGCGCTATATAGAGTCAGCAACTCATCGATATAAACGGATACGGTATACCATCGAACACATACAGGATCTAGGCCAGTTTCGGTGCCAGAATATCCACCATAAGTCCCGGTGGCACCGGTTCTAGTGCTATCAACACGCTATGTATATGTCAGAAAGGAACCACTATAAAACTCTTATAGCCATGAAATGCTTACAGGGTCTAGAGTATTGGCGAAGTCAGACTTGAAAACAAATGTGTCAGTAGAAGTTCTTATAGTGTCGAAATGAGCTGACAAAGCCTGCCCCGTATAATCACTAGGCTTACCGAATGAGGGCCTGTACGGCCTAAAGTTCCGGTTACACCAGGTCCAGCGCTTGAATATATATCGGTCTCCCTGACACCAGTCCCAGTGCTTGGATATGTAGCAGAAGTTCCAGTGACACCAGGTCCAGTGCCGGAATATCCAGCTCCAGTTCCTGTGTTGCCAGTAGTAGAGTATTCAGGGCCTGTGGCATGGCCGGTCCTTGTATCAGTTGGGTGGTCCTTGTGCAGGTGGAGGGTATCCTAGGAGATTATTGTGTTAGCAATGGTGGTCAAGTGGACTCAATAGGAGTTTCAATGAGCACGGTGTATAAGCATACCTTGATCTTGTCCATGGTGGACTCCTTGCCGGTGTTGGTATGGCCAGTCATCTTGATTTATTTTTGTGTCTTTGAAATACTTTTCCTGTTCAAGTTTTTTGAAGTTCGATTTCAAGTGATGAAGTTGAGTGTTGATGCAGAAGAAGTTGGGCTCAGGCTGGAGGAAAGGCTGTTATATATCTATTGAGAGCCTGAAAGAGTCAACAAACGAAACCTGTTACAAACCTTGTTCTCAAAAGGTGAGATGGTTTGATAGCACTCAAGTTGCCACAAACATCCCACAGCATTCCCCCAGAATTTGGATGTTTGAAGCTGATCATTCGTCATATGGGTCATCATATGCCCATCTTCCTGTATCAACCGCACAGCCGATCATGATTGCGCGACAGCCAAGTGCTTGTCTATGTTGCATGTGCCTCATGGGTTATCTGATTGGAGTATCAATCTGCACAAACACATCAAAAAGGTGATTCCCTGGAGAAAGGAGAGCCCCGACGTCAAACCTCCATCATCGCCTGTGGCTGGAACGTCATTGTGGACAGCGGGGAAGTGGAGCCAATCGCTTATCGGTTCCTGAGAGATCTCTGGGCTTGATGAGTGGCGGTGCAAGGCATATAGCTCAGGAGAAACAGGCTTTCAAGCCTCAATCCATCTTGTGGTTATATCCATCCGAGTCCTTCATTAGTGATGTCAGAGGACGTTAAAATGCAACAATGAGAATGCAGTCTTCAGATCCAAGATCAGTGGACCCCTGCTCTGATTCTCTCACTCACAGCGAGCGTCTTTCCGTAGCCGCTTGCCAAAGCTTCGCGCTGCTTTAAGGCTCGGGTAACTGCTGGTGAAAGCGGCATGAGGCCCTATGTACCTTGCGAGGAACGGCGCCAAAAGTTCCAATACGCGCTCGTCAGGGACTCCTATACCAGGTACGCTTTATATCACCTTTGGACGGAATCACAGCGTCAAAAGTTTCAGCATGCGCTCGTCAGGGGTTAATATACGCTCTGAGCTACCTACTTACCTTAGGAAGCCGCCCTGATTTCCTGAAAATCCTGGATTGCCAGTTTACCTCCAGTTTGCAGCAAGGCAGATGCCGGAAATATATCAATCCATTGCTATCACCAAAATTTCCATTGTTGCGAAGCATCGCCCACATAGCTATCCTCCTAAAGCGCCATGTTAACCAGGAGACTGTTTCCCCTCTACTTGTTTACAGGAGTAGGTCTGATCGCGTTCTTCTATTTCTTCGAGTCGCGAGATGCGGAATCTACACCAATCTTTCTCGGCGCGGGCCAATTCAATCGTCCCCCCGCGAAAGACGGGCAATTTCAGTGGAGTACCCGGCCTGAGAAACATCCAGTATCATCGCTGATTCCATTTCCGACTGGCTATCCGGCCAAAATATCTTCTATCCAGCATAAGTTCACCCCCGAGTCGGGTGCGGCTGCAGACGAGCGGATTAAGAGGCGTCAAAGCGTCAAGGAGACATTCATTCGGGCATGGAATGGATACAGGGAGCACGCATGGCTGAAAGACGAACTCACTCCCATATCTGGTAGTTCTCGAAGCCATTTCGGGGGCTGGGCAGCGACATTGGTAGATTCGCTGGATACGTTATGGATCATGGATCTAAAGACTGAGTTTGAAGAAGCGGTTGAAAGCGTCAGGGATATCGATTTTACGACCACGGAGGAAGACCAAATCAATACTTTTGAGACGACCATTCGTTATCTGGGAGGGCTGTTAGCTGCATTTGACCTTAGTGATGGGAAATATCCCGTTCTTTTGGAGAAGGCCCTGGAACTAGGAGACATGCTGTATGCGGCATTTGATACTCCCAATAGGATGCCAATCACAAGATGGTATTGGAAGACGTAAGATTTCTCTTTATGATTGACCCTGTTGAGTTATTGACGCCTCAACAGTGGAATGTCTGGAGACACCCAAAAGCCGGATGACGGAGTTCTTGCTGCTGAGATCGGATCTTTATCTCTTGAATTTACGAGACTCTCACAACTCACTGGTGATGCAAAGTTCTTCGACGCAATCCAGCGAATTTCCGACCGCTTTGAACAGGCACAATTAAAGACGAAACTTCCGGGAATGTGGCCAGTGGTTGTGAATCCGCAGGCAGCTGACCTTGGAACGGACACTGGTTTTACACTTGGAGCTATGGCAGACTCGCTCTACGAATATCTTCCTAAGGTATGTATCCCTATTCGCCGTGTCTCCATGTATCCTAATATGTCTAGCAATACATGTTACTTGGCGGACTATCTCAGCAATACCGCAACCTCTACGAGATCGCCATCGACACGGCGAAGAAAAACTTGCTCTTCCGACCAATGACTCCAAATGAAGACGACATTCTCATTTCAGGAAATGTACGTGTGGTGTCCCCTACCGAGGTCCAACTCGACCCACAAGGGCAACATCTCGCATGCTTTGTCGGGGGCATGATGGCAATCGGGTCTCGGATCTTCGATAGACCAGATGACTTACCAATTGCTCGAAAGCTGGTCGACGGCTGCATTTGGGCATATCAATCAATGCCTAGCGGTATAATGCCAGAAAGCTTCCATGTTGTGCCGTGCGAAGATGCGACGAGCTGTAAATGGGACGAGAAGAAGTGGCACGCTGGTATTGAGAGCCGCCACGATGACTTCAAAGTTGGGGAAGCTGCATCCATGGCAGAGCAGATCAAGAATCTCGGTCTTTTCCCTGGATTTACTGATATAGCGGACAGGAGATATATTCTTCGGTAAGTCAATTGGATTGCTCCTCTTCTGCATTGCGCTGATTGTTCTTTAAGGCCCGAAACAATTGAATCAATCTTCATCCTCTACCGGATCACGGGAGATGAAAGCCTTCGAGACACCGCTTGGGAGATCTTCCAATCAATCACCGAATACACGCACACGGCTTTCGGGAACGCAGCTTTGAGTGACGTAACGCATCTACCACCACAGCAATCCGATAGTATGGAGTCCTTTTGGACTGCGGAAACACTGAAGTACTTTTACTTGATTTTCAGCGACACATCTCTGATAGATCTGGATCATTTTGTCTTTAACACCGAAGCGCACCCTTTTAAGCGGCCGCGATAGATACTGTTGCAAGTAGCCACTGCATTTATGCATCCTTTGTCACGGGTTAGAAGGTTTTGGAGTAATCGAATGGGGTTGTCAAGCTCATCATCATCGATCGCGGGCATTCCCAGGGCAGTTACCATATTACACACTACCTTACCTGTACCTGCCTGACAAGATCCATCCCTCTTTTGTCCATCCTTGCTAGGACAGATGTAAGTTTGAAGTGGCGTGTAAAAGATTGACCGTAAGGAACGAACGATAAACACAGTAACCTAGACATCTGTTGCATCACCAGCAAAGCTTCACAAAATAGCAGCAGCATTCGAATGCATGATTGCTCATGCATTGGAGCGGCCGCATCACGTGATAAAGCCTCACTGCCCCTGAGAATTATTTGGCATCGGACCTGGCAACCCATCAGCAGGTGCCAACCATATCTCGATCCGTCGGCGAGGGATGCTTCTTTTACCATGCCAGCTTCTCTCGAGCTCGATAATGGTAAGCACATTACTTACGAGTCGGCCCTCAAGAGAGATGCCAACATCATCAATGAAGCAACATACCCTGGAGCAAGGAGACAGCTCTTTCAGAAGCTCTGGGATCAGCGAGCAACGATCCAGGCTATTGTTCGGCACCACCTGAGACTGCGCGATGAAGACGCTTGTATCGTCAAAGCAGAGAACCGATGGATTCATGGGAGCTTTAATGTGTGTATACCTGTGGAAGTAAGGTCGGCCAGCTTCAACAAGGACTTGATGTTTCGTTGTCCTATGCCACACAAGCTTGCCGAAGCCAAATACCCTGGCACCATTGACGAGAAACTAAGCTGCGAGGTTGGAACCTACGTTTGGATGCAAGATCGATGCCCCGACATTCCCATTCCATACTTATACGGCTTTGGCTTCTCCGACAACCGACACGTAAGTTATTGTATCTCTTGAGATTTCCGTGCTAACATTATTGCTTCGTCTATAGTTTGCACACGAGCAACGATTGCCTTTTTATCTTCGCCTTTGGCGCATGTTCCAGCGATTTTCCCGCAACTTGCTTCGGTACCCAGCTTTGTCTCGATATGCCCCAAGTCCGACCTACCTGCGCCTACCCACTGCGTATATGCTCCTCGAGTATATCGGCCACGATAAAGGCGAAGTGCTCTCAAACACATGGGATAGGCATCGACGGGACCCGGTCCGGAGGCAAAAGCTCTTCCGAGGCATGGCGCGCTTGATCTTGTCTTTAGCTCGCATTCCTCAGCCTCGAATAGGCTCGTTCCAATTCCATAATAACGGCACAATTACACTGTCAAACCGGCCGCTGCCTTGCTCTATTATCATTTTAGAGAATGAAGGCGCCCCAAGAACGATATCGAGAAATGAAACATATACCTGTACTGAGCCCTTTGTCTCAGATATACTCACCTTCCATGACAACTTCTTTCTTGGCAATCCGAATGCAGCTCACAGTACGGAAGACTGTCTCGGCCAGATGGCTGCTAAAGCGATGCTTAGGGCACTCTCACATCACTACATCCAGCGAGAAAGTCGTAACGGGCCATTCCGTCTTCAGCTTACCGATTTCCATGCGAGTAACATCTTCGTCGACAAAGACTGGAACATTACATGTCTCATAGACCATGAGTGGGTGTGTGCGCTACCCGCCGAGATGCTTTCTGTTCCCTATTGGCTCACGGGATGCGGTATCGATGAGATAATAGAAGACAGGCTCGGTGAGTTTGATATAGTTCGCCAGGAGTTTATGGATATATTTGAGGAAGAAGAAATCAGGATGACGCCAACGGATGCGCCCTCACTGACAACAATCATGCATGACGGCTGGAAATCTGGAGCAGTCTGGTTCTGGCATTGTATTACGTCTGTAAATGCCGCGTTTGCTCTAGTCGAAGATCATATCGGTCCTAAATTTCTTCCTCTCTCTACGAAGACCGAAGGAATACTTTCACAGTATTGGTGCCAGAGTTCTTCTCTAGTTGCTGAGAGGAAAGTCGCTGATCGAGAAGAATATGTGAAACGGTTACAAGTTCTCTTTGACGAAGAAGCAGGCCTCTCTAGAGAGGAAGAGACTCTTGCCACCCACAGTGAGTGATGCCTGCAAAACGGTTAGAGCCGGCCTCGTTGACGTGTGATTTGGTTCATTGATACTTGCTTGGTACTGCTCTGCCTTCCCTGTACTGTGGCTCCAACGGCTTGAATTGCTCATGCTAGTTATTGCTCTTTATCATGGTGAGGTGAGTTGAGCGGGCCGAGCCATCGCCCAATTTGATTGTGAGCGTCTGTGCTAGCCGCGCGGCTTGAGCCGCTCCCCAAGTGGATGTACTCTATTGATCGATCCACGCCACAGCGGTAGTGCAATCTTGCAATTTGTCCAAGTGTTTAATGCCTATTATTAGACAATTCTGACTTGAATCTATAATAATCGTTGTTATTTTGTAAGAACCTTTGACTTTAAGCTTGTTGGTTTTTACGCTGAGATAGCCCTGAATAACCAACATACAGGGAGGGGGAGGGGGATAGTATTGCTCTTTTTCCCGTCTCAGGGTATTCACCTTCTCCACATCCCATTCCGTCGTTTCTATTTTATTTACTGTGCACAAGTCCATCTCGAATTGTCCAGCGTCATTCTATAATGTTGGACTTCAGACGATCCTGGCCTGGATTCTCCTTACTCCTCATTCTGTTCTGCCTCTTCTCTCCAATCTTCTCAGTATGCTATTATCCTAACGGAGATGTCACCACTAGCGATGTTCCGTGTTCCGACACCACAGCTGAATCCGCATGCTGTTCAGTGGGCTACATTTGTCTATCCAACGGTATTTGCATGCAGAGTAACGACTCGATAGAGGCGCAGAGCTTTTCATCATACGTGCGAGGCTCCTGCACTGATCAAACATGGCGTTCTTCTTATTGTCCGAACTTTTGCGTGAACGCAAATGCTCCGTACAGCGATGATACAGCCGGCGGAGAGGGAATGGCAAAATGTCCAAATACAACAATTGACATGTATTACTGCGTTGATTTTGATCAAAGTGCGGTCAATTGCGAGACGCGGCAGAATGTTGTCATATTTCAAGGCAAGTCTACTAATTTATACATGTAGTGAAGATGGTATTGACTTTGCTCGATAGGAACTCCTTCGGCCGTTACAACAATTGGGGTGGTGCCTTCAACTTCCTCTTCTTCGACTTCCATAGCAGCCGCGACAACAGTGTCTACAAGTGCACAGACTGATACTCCTTCAAGCACATCATCAATCTCCAGTCCAACGAACACTGGCAAATTCTCAAGCACCAACGCTGTTGCCATCGGCGCCGGCGTCGGGGTGCCTGTCAGTGTCATACTCATTGGTCTGCTTGGCTTCTTATTCTTCCGCCACCAGCGTAAGAAGAGAGCATCAGATTACGCTGATCCTCCAACAGCAGCACGGCGGACATACAAAGGCGACCATGGAAGTCCGCCGATAGGGTTGGGGGGATATGGTCAAGGAGGACTTTCTGCCCTGGGACAGCAGACTCCTATGGGTGAGCTTGTGGGACATGAGGGGCCAGTTCCACAAGTGCGGCATGAGATGCCTGCTCATGGATTGAATTGAGACCAGATGTGGTACTGTTATCAACAGGCTGCGCTTGTGTCCCTATGGATTGGGTTATGGTTTCTTGGCGGACCGATTGGGTCGATCTTAACCCTCAAAAGCCCAGCCCATGGATCCTCGATTCATGAATTTTCTAAGAGAAGCATTTTTAACAATTACGCCCTTTCTACTTTACTTTTTCCACTCGACCCCCAAGGTAAACTCTTATATCGTTTTTCAACACATTTATTTTCATCACATGATTAGTGGCAGCACCTCGCTTACAAAATCCATAGTCCACATTGACAGCCCTCCCATTACACAGCCTTAACCGACGTTTAAGCCGTCCCGATATATTCCAAGCGTTTGTGGTTTAGTGGTAAAATCCATCGTTGCCAGTGTTCTTAACACTCAACATCGATGGGCCCCGGGTTCGATTCCCGGCGAACGCAATACAAGAGAATTCCTTTTTTTTGCTTCTATATCATGTTTTGTTTCTTTTTCTTGCGATTCCTTTCTTTCCTACAAAGGGATCCTGATTCTAAGTGAGCGTCTTCCGAAGTTCGGCGTTACTAATCATTTTACTTGAGACTAACTCGCTTAGTGACAGCACGTCCCCTTTTTTTTCAAGGCTTTTTTTTGACCTTCTATCTATCTCCCTTGATTCTTGTACTGTTCTAATCCGAATCCTTACATCTCTTGTCCGCGTTTGTGGTTTAGTGGTAAAATCCATCGTTGCCAATAAAGTGATTTATTTAACCTCGATGGGCCCCGGGTTCGATTCCCGGCGAACGCAAGGATTGAACGTGTATATACGCGTGTCTATACATTTTCTTTTCTCTCTCTCTTCCTCTTCCTTCCTTTCAAAAGAATTTTTTTTTCTTTTTTTAAGCTTCATATATATATAGTTTTTTTTTATTCCCGAAGCCTAAAGAGATTCTGCAGATCTAGCTAGGAATGTAAGAGTTGAACCGGCCGTAATTATAAAAACATAATAATAATACACTTGGTCCTTACTATGTTCCTGGTAACAGGAAGACAGACTCCTTTCGATGGCTCATTTTATTAGGAAATCATAAGGTAAGAGGTACGTAGGACGCAAAGGGCCAGCTGGCGATAAGCGAGACGGACGATCGATTAGTTTCAGGGGCAAAGAAGCTCTCAATTCAAAAACAACGTCTTTACGTACCTAAGGTACTTAGGTATACAGTAATAAATCTATGAATTATCAAAATATTGAATTTAATCTTCCTGATCCTCACGTATACACCTACACCCAGTTCTACATGTACAAGATGAAGTGGAGAGTAGCGTAATGATGTTTTTCATATTCGAAACCATTTTTTCTTTCTCGACGTTGCTGAATCCAATCAAATCAAATCCAGTCCTGCCCTGTCTCTGTGTCTGTACAGTACGCCAATCCGCATACTCCTTCTTCCCTCATTATCCTTCCCCTCGTTCCTATTACCAGAACAAACCGCTGGAGAGGAGAGGCATTTGATCATATATATAGAAAAACAAAAAGGGGAACGCGTTGATTCCGGAACGCTGTAGCCTGTCGCTGGCTCGCATATATAATCCTGCTTTCCAAGCAAAGCAGCGAAGAGTTATACGTAAAGAAAAAGATATATGACTGAGTATGGCGTATTGTTCCGTGTCATCTTACAATTTCGTGAGATATGTATATATATATGCGTTTTTTTTGGTCGGGGACACGTGGTTCGTTCCGCATTAGGCGTGTTCGGACTATTCATCGACATGAATGCGAAAGCCTGCCTTCGTCTCGCCCGGCACGAGACCTATAGGCTGGTTACTCGGATACTCGCTCGGACAGCTGCTTCCGTCGTCATCACTCTCCTCGTCCTCATTTCGCCACGAGCTTCCACTAACAACCATGCCAAGGACGCGTGTCCCACTTTCCTGTACCTCAACAGGGTCCTGGACACCTTCCCATTCATCCTCTGAATGCCCCTTGCTACTACCAGAGTCATAGTCACTCAGGGCATTCTGTTCTCCGCCTTCGAATTCCTCTGTCGTGCTGCCCTGTTCATCACCTCCATCTTCATCGAACTCGCTACTAATCCGACGTTCAATGTATGGCGCATTACTATGCGGCGTTGCATATGCAAACGGCGTCAACCCTCTCTTCATCTCCACGTAATCCTCAGCGTATGCGAATGGACTAGGCGGGCCCACACTCCAACGAGGAGTATCGCGTGGACGGCTGGGAGACCGCGTGCGCAAACGTTTCAGAATCCGCGGGCGCACTGGCGAGGACTGAAGTTCGTTGTTGAAAGAGGAAATGCGGCGTTTGGGTTGGGAGGGGGAATTGAGGGCAATGAGGGATGGCATAGAGGCTGTACGAGTACGGAGGGGCTGGAAGGGGTGGCGTTCTTTAAGAGGAGAGATAAGGTAGCCGGAGGGCTGAACGAGAGAGGTAGGTGTGGTGGAGATGTTGGGGGAGGCGGATGAGAGTTGGTCCGAGGAGGAGGTCTGTTCGGTCCCTTCGTTGGTAATTGGTCGGATGCTCAATGAGATATGGGATTCAATCGAAGAGTGAACACTTGGTGGTGGGTCAAGACGTTCGTCGAACTCCCAGCATGGCTCGTGTGCATCTGCTTCGGGCGTGTGGTCAAAACTTGCATCAGGGTAAACGCGATCCATTTGACGTAGCTTCTGCCACGTCCAAGTAGTAGTTGTCCCAAGATGTTGGATATAGCCGTCAGGCTGGGTGACATAAAGACGCCTTGTCCCAGTGGCACGCATGGCAACGCTTGAAGATAAGAATTGTGCAGTCCAGAGCGCAGGAGTGACCATCTCGGCAATGTTGAGAAATTGTAGGCAGGAATCCTTATGCAGCTTTCGGAGAGGAACCCAGGAAGCCTGAAGTCCAAGGTACTTGTCTAGTGGACGGGGAATTGCGCCTTTGTGCTCGTGGTGGCTGTAGGGGTCCTTCGCGAGGGTCTCTAGTAACTTCCCAAATGCAGACAACATCGCGGCTTGAACATCCCTGGCGTCAGGCCCTTTGATTTGAATCAACTTGACTAGTCCTCTGCTCCTAAGACGTTGATCGACCTTGCTCCGAGGACCACACGCCTTCGCCATCAACCACGACTGCTCCTCACTAAGAGCCTTTGCTGAAGTCTCCCAGGCTATAGCTTGATCATGAGCGGCAAGGCTTGCTTGAGCTGCAGCCATTGAATTGTGTTGAGTTTGCGTCCACTCATCACCTGACATACTGCTCATCCTGGTTCCTCGAGTAACTAGATGCTGTGGAGTCCAGATGCCCATCAACTGGGGACCAAAAGGCAAGAACACGACTTCCACCTCCCACGGTCGCGAGTGAGACGGGGGTGCAACAGCTTGGAGGTCAGAGAGCTGTGACTCAAGAGCCTCTATGCGAGAATAGTCCGGGCCAATAGCATTTGAACTCAAGGCAGAAGGGGCGTTTGACATTCTTGAGTCCATAGAAGCGTCAAGGAGTTGTCGGCTGCCGACACTACTGGCATCGTTCAAAGCCTGCTGCTGCCTCTCAACTTCAGCCATCCGGTCCTCAAGATCCCCGACACGGCCACCTAAATAATCATGTCCTTCCCGAACCTCCTCAAGGAGCGCTTGTGAAAACGAGGCATTTTCCAGTTGATCTAGTCGATGTTCATGATTTTGAATTTTCATGGGATAATCAATCACGTGTCTCACGATGCTCTGGATCCTTGGCAATAAATTTTCTTGGTCAGGGATAGGGGCAGGCCTAGATTCAGTGGCCTCCTCGGTCGTCCTCAAGGCTACAGTGACTCCGTTTGCTCTATCATCTGCGATTTTTTGGAGAGCATCTTGAACGATTGTGCCATTCTTGATAAAGGCAGCTTCAGCCTCCACACCCTGGGAGGATCTCACGCTCGGCGTAGCCACCTCGGTGAGGCTCTGCAAGTATGCATGGCCATTCGAATCCTCGTAAATCTGCATAGCCTTCCCATTTTCATGAAGCAAGGGGCCTTTTCGGGAGTCCGGATTATTCTTCCGCGCCGCGGAATTAGGTTTTGGTATATGACTCAGGGTCTGGAGTCCTAATCCTGCGAAGGGTCGAGTGCACCCTGCTTGGCTGCTTGAGGCTCTGGACCCATTGTCGGACGGTAAGAGACACTGGGACGGGATAGGAGGGAGACTTCCCTGGCTTGCAGAATTGAGGAAACGGTTCCATTGAAAGGTATCCGGTAGAGATTCTTGTGGCCCTACCTCTGGACGCTCATCTTCTAGACGAGGCTGCAACGGCTCCTGTGGCTGCTTCGGCTTTTCCGGGGTCAGAGATGACCCCTCAGCTACCTGTACATCAGTTTCAACCACTGGCCCATCTTCATAGCGGTCATGGTAGCAAGAATGATGGGTGCAGACACAAAATCCGGACGGCGTATCCAGAAGCTGGACCTGTAGGGCATTGTCCGTAAACCGACGACATCCACATCTCACATCGGCCCCAATGCTCATATTTCTATAATTGCACGGCCCACTTGGCGGCCGAGTATTCGAAAAGCCGTCATTGCTGTATCTATTCAAGAGCGGAGTGTTTGGGGCTGTTGGAACCTGGGGAGGGGCAGCCATGGGCAGGAATAAGAATGGGGCAGAGGGAGCCTCTCAAGAGATTATATCGCATTGAGGGCGAAGCGGTCTGTGACGGTCCGATCGAAGGCCAACAGCAGCTAGTTGGAACTCTCGCACCCAGCAGCGGTGTTCTCATCGGCTTCTCGTCTGGCAGTCGTATAATCGTGATATAGTAGTCCAAAAGACAGGCAGATGCGCATTCAGGGACGACGAGCCCGCCGGATGCGTCGCGACTCGAGTCAAACCGAGGACATCGCAGACCTGTTCCTCGATGCATCAGCTTCATGGACTCGCGTTCACGCAACAGAGCACTAACCTGCAGCCTTTCGTGGTGAAGAGGGGTAGAACAGAGGTAGGAGATTCGTTACTTATATACAGACAGATAAATAGGCAAGAGGAGGACGCGACGGATCTCCGCCAGAAGTCAGCGGGCACGCACCTGGGTCGCGTGGGGTAGAGAGGGAAGACAACTTGTCGAGAATCGAGAATCGAGAGGATCGACCCTCGAGGCCCCTGGCACCCCGGCAGCGCGCGTAAATACATGGTGCCTGTCTATGGAGTGGAGCGGGATCGTGTAAAACGCGTCTCCCAGCATTGATTGGTGCTTTGAGTGGGCGGGGTGCCTTGGCTGCCTGAGGTTGCAATCGAAGTGATCAATGCTTTACTCCGTATCCTCTACCAACACACGTCCTGACATGGTGAGAATAAATCAAAATAAAAGACGAAAAACTCAGAAAAGCGCCCTAGGGAAGCCCAAGGTATGTGTACTGAGTTCATTTCCGACAGATTACTTTTCCTGCTGAACATCTGGCTCCTTTTCATAGCGCTTGACTACTTCCAAGCTCAAAGGGCTCAAATCTGGGGACGGCCCGAGCCGGTAGCACTTGCTATACACCGAAATTCAACCAAATGTTTCCTTTTAGACGACATCACCAGAAATATTCTGCTGATCTGGAATGACGAAGTACATCCTTAAGGCTTGGGATCAGCCAGTGCCATATGCAAGTGCATTCATGCCTGCATCGGGAAAGTCTGAAAGGCTGGAAGCTCCGGGATTAAGAGGTATGGACGGCACATTGTATCTTCGTCAATGATTTGAGACAAGACTTTGATCCTTGAATTAGTATGAGGTTTGCGCTTCCTTGCGATCCTACAATTATTGCACAGGAAATATTAGTGGGTTAGAGCCACAACTTTGAGGGTCACTCCTCCAAAGCTGCATCCACTTCTGACCCGGCCAGACCGAGGCAAGGAGGGAGGCTGAGTAGAGCATAGATTGAGCCAACCTTGAGCGAGAGGTTATGTGGTTAGTACACCAAGTAGTTTCTAGCACACCAAATACCTGTATCTCTATCAGCTCCCCTCGCCCTGAGTTCTAGTCTCTAGAACGCAGCTCTCTGTACTACGTAAGAGCTGCGGTTGAAGCATGAATAGCCGATAGCCTTATACCTAGATCAATGGTTGCGCGGGAGCCTGGTGGTAAGAGGTATTGAGAAGAGATCTAGTCTCAGATTCCCAATTTCTCTATCTACGTAGCGTTAATGAATGATGGAACCACGGTTCTTGACGCCATCTGACTCACTACTGTACTACTATAGAACTAGAAATCCTCTCTCTCTCCTTTCCCTTAACCAAAACTACACTCTGTTCAAGGACCAAGGACATACCCCCCTCTTTGAGCTCTTCTTTTTCTGTCTCAAATTCTTAGTAAATCCTCTGGAATAAGCTCCTATAAAATCCTTCGAGAAAGAAGTCATCGTGTAAATTTCCAGCAAGTGCTTTCTGCTATTTCTATTCAGCCTAAAAGCTATCTACTTAGTGTGTCTAATTCTGTGGCCTACTTTTTTTTCATTTCCTTATTTTCCTTAAAGGAGGGTTGCGAATATTGATCGCTTCGCTCATGAAAAGCCCCTTTTCACCAAGCGAGGTCAGTATTTGTCTACCTACCTACCTACCTTTAGGTATTTGGACTGATGAATTGATATGATGTGTGCAATTCTGGGAGACTCTTTGTTTATTTTATTACTTTTGAGTTTTATTAGACCCCTTTCCTTTTCTCCTTTTCCTCTTTTCGGTTTGTGATGAATCCGCGATATGTCCATCGTCCAGTTTGGAAAAATGAAAATAGGGGCCGAACCAAGGGATTGGCCTGCTCAAACGCCAAACCAGCAGAAGCAGCCCTTGTTTCTGAGTTACGGGGGATTATGATACAGAAGTAAGATGCAATCACTGCGCTGAGCAAGTGTTTCATCCCCCTTCAATTCTCCAGCATAGGAATGTAAGCGTCATGGTTCATGAACGTGCCCAGATCCACGTTCCTCTCATCAACGAGCATTATCATATCGACAGCATCGGCCTTCATCACTGTCCTTTATACAACTGAGCGACTGATTTTGCGTCTTGAAATGGCGCGGCCAATAAAGACACCAAGGACACCGGTAACGACAATGAAGACTACGCAGAAGACGACGATGACACCTGCTTCGTGGCTGGCCCAGTTGCTTCGTTTAGAGATATGATGGATGGCTTCGGGATCTGGAGGGAGGGAAATGACTGCCATTTCGGACTATGCCATTGCGAATTAGCATGTATTCTCGTTCATATCAGGTCCTTGGTTTGAACTTCGAGCTGTTTTAGAAGTTGATAAAGCACATGTCTCTGGTCTCGCGCTCATGATATATAAAGCCTCCCATTGTAATCTCCGGCTTCGTTTTATCGTAGTTCTCAAATCGGGCAGGGTCGTGGAGCGGCTCCAAGAATGTCGAAGATCTCAGCTTCTTACCTTTGTATCTGTCTGAACGGATGGGAGTAACGAGCTCAGTTGATATGAAGGGTTCTGCAAGATGGTCTATCGACATTATCAGCTTGGACTTCAGACATTCCATCAACAAGCAGGCGGTTAGGGGCACTGGATGAAGAATTGAACGCGAAATGCAACGACACGGTATCAAAACAACAATAACCGCATGCAGAATTGAAACCAAATTTAGAGTTCCTTTTCCAGATGGTACTGAGGAAGCTCTAGTTTCCCATTGCTCCTGTTGATTCAGAGGTGGGTGGCCAAGCAGGAGAACCCGAGGTTTCAGTGCCCGCGCCATAACTTCCCCGTCCTCGACTCCTCGCAGTTCGATAATTCCATTGTGGAGAGAAAGAAATCAAGGGGTACATACCTGTGCTTCTTCGCAGGGGGGTTTAAGAAACGATTGGATGCTACTGCAGTAGCAGTGATGGTGGGGTACAATGGGACAATGGTTGGTTGAAAGACGGATCGAACTCGAGTCTCGAGATGGACACTGTGGGGAGACTGGAAGGGGCCAGGCTGGGTGAGGCTTACCTTCCAAGTTAGTATCGAGACGTCAATCTGGCTCTTTGTGTGACAACAAACCCCCTCTATACTATACAATTCTCGCTTATCATGATTGATCATGGGGTTTGGGCATTTCTATATCTTCAGTCGTTTTATCTTGACTCTTCTGATTCTATTTTGATATTATTCTCTTTTGTTTCAGGGGAATAACGTAAACCTTTCCAGCACTATCAATAACCATGGTGGCCTGGATCGACGCTCGAGGCAGGTAAGCGTGGAGTAGGGAAGGATAGAGCATTGCAGGGCAGTACTCACACAAGGTATGTGGTCTGGGCACGGTATTGGATACTGTACCAAGGAGAAAGGGCCTCGGAGCGGGAGGTATAGTCTGTCATATGTCATGTCATATAAGTTCGTAACTGATATACCTTACCTAGGTAGGCACTTTATAGAAACAAGTCGCATGTGACGGCGTGTCTTCCATTCAGAAGAAGTCCATGAACCCTTGGGCGAAGGAAGCTCAAGCTCTGCCAAAATCCACCTATATAAGAGATGCATCGATTACTCTGCTTGGTGTACTTCATCACAGCTATAGCAACGCCCAGAGCCAGCCCCTTTTGATACAGTCACGTGTCAGATTATCAGAAAAGGCAGGCGTCCAAGGGTCACAACTGATGCAGATCTGATGTTCCAGACGCTGGTCTCCTCGGTCTCTCCTGCAACCTCTTTCACCCCGTACGACGATCCTCCAGGCTCCAGCTCTCCACGTCGACCATCATGATCTGGGAGTTCAGAGAGCAGGCGTCTGCACGTGTATTGCTTGACTCGTCTACGGCGGAAAGATCGAAGACCCCTAGATGCCGCTGTCTACACCGCCTGCGCGTTCTTCCGGGATCTTCGAGACCTGCCAAGCTGCATCGCTGCAACTACTGGACCACGAGGAACTCCACCTGGACCCCTTCATCCGTATACAGGAATTATCGGCGGGTTCGAACGATCGCGTCGAATTCCCTTCCCTCGGGTGCAGAAAAGCATACGTCTAGCTCCCTGTGGTACAGTAGTACTGTACGTAGTGTCGTTATCGCTATCGACTCAACATGTATTACTTACAGGATCGTGCATGAAGATACCGACGACTCGTGCATGTTCCCTTTGTCCTTGGAATACACATGAGAGATAAGGAGAGCCAAGCCTCAACTTCGCTGCTAACGCTCCTCAGGCTGCGATTGCTGGAAATGGCCGTATCTGTCCTTGATCTTGAAGCTCACGATCATCTTTTGACCAGAGTTCAAAGCAGACCTGCAGCAGATAACTTCTTGAAAGCTCGAGGACAGCACTCTCCCAGCGTAGGAGCATATGAAATCCCATTGCAGGATATCGGTGCCCTAACGAGTAACGAGTTTTTGAACGAGCTTCTTTGAGCCTTGCACCTTGGACAACAAGAAAGAAAACAGAAGACTTGACGTTCGGAATAAGTAGAAAGGACGCAATCCTCTAAGGCTCTACAGAACTGGCTCCCGACCCGACGCGACGATGATTATCCGTGCCGAGGGGCCCCGCTGATAGGCCGATATGCGGATAAAGGGAGGCGGATCGGCGGATAAACATATAAACATGCGACTCAAAACATGCGAAGGCTGAGGTGCTGACATAAGCAACTGCACGCAAGAGTGCCAACAGGGACCAGATGGCGTGCTGGGCGCAAAACAGCCGGATCAGGACAAGCGCCGTCCCAAAGATCTGCCCCTCCTCCCACAATGTATAACGTATAACGTATGGCCATGAACCGCCTACGTCCGACAGTCCGACAGCCCGAGCAGACCGACGTCCTCAACCCCATCCTTCGATTCGAGCCCTCCCTTCTGGCCCCTGCCATGATCCATGATCCATGATCCATGATCCATGATATATGATACTCCGTAAGCCGTACCGAGTAAGCCTCCGGAGTTAATCGAGAACACGGCGCAATCTGCTACAAAGACGGTCCGCGCCCTTCCATATTCTGGCCCATCTTCCTCTCCCCCGGATTATACAGAAAACGAACTCCAGTTTGCTATGCATGGCGTCTGCCAGCAGCCCTTTCAGGATGATCCGTAAACGCAGATCGACTCTTCGTTCTCTTTGAAGCTGGTTGTCTCCGCGCTTCGTGAAGATTCCCTTTCCGCCTGAGGATCCCACTTAAGACTTGACGCGCGCGGGAGAGGATATAGAATCCTTTGGTCAGTTCAAATGCATATTTCAATCCGAACGGATTGGCGTAAACTCTAGCTAACTCTTCCAGACATCTCCAATATATTGCGCACCGTCCCAGGACCGCATTGTGGTTATCGTCGTGCTCAGCGGATAACTGCAAATTGCAATATACACATATACCTTCGGTGTATATACCTTCGTATTCACTTCGTGATAATATAATACCAATACCCTTCTCACAATGGCGCTGGATCACCATCCTATTCAGAACAGCGAGGTCTACCTCCTGAATGCCTCGCACGCCCCATCAATGCCGCCGCCTTCCCCTCCTTCTCCGGCAACACCAGATGAGCGCGAATGCTCCCCACTGGACAATTTGGGGTCCATGACACCCCTTGAAATCCAGGGCTCCGCTCCGTCTTTCAAGCAGCGACTGTCCAATGCGGTCCACGTCCTGGGAACCGAAGCGACAGCCCTCTCCTGCCTGACCCGTTTATACGATACCGATCCAATCGCCCAAGAGGGCTTCAATTCAGCTGTCGAAGCAATCACCAGATTCGAGGGTGACAAGGGCAAACTCGTCATCTCAGGTGTTGGCAAGAGTGGGCATATTGCCAAGAAATTAGTCGCGACGATGAACAGCCTCAAGATTCACGCAACGTTCCTGCATCCAACTGAAGCACTTCACGGCGATCTCGGAAAAGTAGGAAAATACGACACGATCCTGCTTATTACCTTCTCGGGCAAGACGCCTGAGCTTCTTTCCCTTCTACCACATTTCGATGCCTCTCTACCACTTATCGTCATGACATCTCACACTCACCCCTCGACCTGTGAGATCGTCAAGCACCGCCCTGATGCCATTCTTCTCCCCGCACCGATCCACAAATCTGAAACCGATTCTTTTGGGTTCTCAGCACCTACCACCTCTACAACGATGGCGCTCGCTCTGGGAGACGCTCTGGCTGTCGTGATCTCCAACGAGCTACACATCAACGTCGCCGCCGTCTTTTCGCAGAATCACCCCGGGGGCGCAATTGGGGCCGCTTTCAAAGGGCCTCAGAAGGTATCCGACCTCTGCATACGATTTTCCGAAATCCCGGAAACTGATAAGGGTCTCATGACTGGGGCGCATATCCTAATGTCAGCCTATCGATCGGAAACGGGCTGGGTCAGACATGGACAGGATGTAGTGGTGCCGCCTCGCCGCATCAAGAGACTGCAGCCGGATAATATGGACGAGCCGGCGCCGCAAATCCAGGGCTTAATGGTGCCGAGGAAAGAGTGGATTGAGATCCCGGCCGAGACGGCACTGACGACTGCGAGGGAGTGGGTGAAGAGCATGCGACGAAATTCGCAGGGCGTTAAATATGGCGATGATGCTATCTTGGTGGTCATGGATGACGATGAAATCTCCGGTGTCATGGAGATTGGGCAGCTGATGGCCTGATGGGCGTCGGCATAGTATTTGGGCGGTTCATGTCTGGGCGTTGGATAAGGGTTAGGGTAAATCCCACCTCACTGACTTGGGTGGAATTCTGTAGTTTCATTTGTTTCCTCAGGGTATTAGATCTCACATGTCCGGCGGCAGGTTTACTCATATTTGAGGTGAACGGCCGGTCATTAATATCAGGGTTAGGCGCGCAGCGAAGGGGATAATCCTCCCTTCGAATCTCACACCTCTACCATTTCCATGATTACCCCATCCAGTGATAACCTTGAATATGCCAAAACCCTAGCTTCCTATCTTCGATAGCCCAACCCCAGAATTCCTATTGACCGCCGTTTCCGGACCCGCTCGTCATCTCACGAGTCACTCCACATTTCCAAGCCCATCAGTAAGTACATTGCCAAGAAATGTCAGCGTCCATGTATTACCTATCACGTGATCATGGAATAATGTCTCGAACTTTCCCTCGCCAGCTTGATCCTGGCCACTCATCATCCCATGCCTCAGCACGTTCCGCCTCGCTACTTCATTTGTCAAAGGAAGGCCTGTGAGCGTTCCAAGGGGCTGGTATTGTGGCGTCTGTTCGAGTATAGGGCGAGTGTTGTGGTTTGGGAAGGATGAGCACCTTACTTGAGGGTTTCAGGCGAGATAGAATCCACGCCGGGGGATTGTTAAGGCTGGCCATTGAGCAGGTGGAGTTTTGCTGAATCCAGATAAGTACCTGAAGTTTCTCGTCTCTCAACTTCTTTCTTTTGGGAATCTGTCTCTGACCCTACGCTGCTCTCAATCAAGACTTGATTTACCAGTCTTTGAAAAAACGTTTCCCATACTCTCCACCGGTTTGCTTTGTTTCCTGTGTTCTAGAAGGTTGAGATGAGACTCCTCATCACTTTCCATTCTCCTCCATCTTTGTGTTTTCTGTTATAGCCCGTCTCCAACTCGCGAGTGCGATCTGGATATAAGTGGGGTCAACATTCAATTCAACGAATCTAAATCTCCAATCCTCATACGGAATCATTGGACACAGGATTCGGGTCCTTAGACGACTGTTGGAACGGCCCGTCGGATCTACAACCATGTATACAAAGCTTTGGGACCAAGACGATACCACCGAGGTGTGGCAACGTTGACGTCATGTCACTCAAACGCACAGCCTCAAGCCTCCTCTACATATTCCTCCCATCGAGTCTCAATATCATCACCACTAGCATATAACAGAGATGAATCGGCAAAACAACACAATGCAAGCAGCCGACCCGTTTGAACCCCCTCCATCATACGATGAGGTGGTCTCCGGTCCATCCGCTTCGGGTTCAAACACATTACAAGTCCCTCCCGAGACAGGAAATAGGGATTCCCCACTCACCCGTCGCCCAACGGAAGACGAGACCCGCGAGCTGCCTCCCGGATGGATGCGTCTATATGATTCCAAAGAGAAGCATCATTACTTCGTCGACACCACCACCAACCCCCCTCGCTCCACCTGGAACCATCCCTACGAGGACGAGGAGTATCTGAACTCCCTCTCGCCACCCGAGCGTGCGCGCATCCAAAAGATCTACCGCGCAACCACCGACACCGCCGTCATCGCTGAGGGCAGCACCAGCTCAGAGCGTCGTCCCACGCCTCCTCCGCGGCCACACACGACGGGGGAAGCCAAAGGGGCGCGCAAACTGGGGCGGCGCATGAAAGACGCCTTGACGAACTCGACGCACGAAGAGCGCGAGGCGCGGCGGCGCGAGCGCGCAGAGCAGGAACGCCGCGCCTACGAGATGCAGCGCAGATTCCGCATCGCTTTGACGAAGGCGATGGAAACGGGCGTGCCGCAGTTCCTGGGCAAGGACTCGGACGGCAAGGAGGTCTATGTCGAGCCCCCGTATGGGCCGGGTGGCCAGCAGTACGCACCACGGGGATATGCAGGCGGGGCGTACGGGTACAATCCCTATGCGCAGGGCCCGTATACGAATCCCAACGCGAGATTTTTGAGGCCGCAGCAGCCCAATAACCTCGACTACGCTGGATATGGCCCTATTTTTGCAGCTCCGCTGTTGGGCTTGGGAGCGGGGATGTTGCTTGGGGGATTGATGTTGTAGTCATCTCTAGTGCATGTATCTCTCTTCTGGATTGGAGTTCTAGCGTGGGTTTCTGGGTTATTGGACAGATGGATAGGATGGCATCCAAATAAATCGGCTTGGGAAGTCTACGGCAGGAAGGATCAGGCGGCGTTTCATCAGCACTTCTTCTGTATTGTATATATCCCAATTTGCTTCACCACATATATAATATTCGCACATCACATATCATCTAGCCATCTAGCTCATCTAGCCATCTAGCCATCTAGCCATCTAAGCCTTCCCAATCTCCAATCTCCCCTCTTCACAGCTTCGCCTTCTCAGCAACACTCCCCACCCTCAATTTCCCCCCATACTTCTTCAACACGCCCTCATTATGATATTTCCAAAACTGTTTCGTAGCATCCTTGCCCGCAACGCGTTTCAAGATCTTCGCTCCGCCGGGATGTTCATCGACGAAATCTATTTTCCCCTTCTCATCAGCCTCTCTCCTCTAACTCTAAAATTTAACCATGAATCATGAATGAGAGAATGAAAAAAGAGGGGGGAGGGGGAAGGTACTTGTGACATCGTAAACTCCATCGTCGATTATGATGTAGAGACCCGAAGACGCATCTTTGTGTGTCGCGACGTCGGCGGGGGTGAATGTTTTGGACATTTTTTTTGGCTTCGTCTTCTTGCTTCTTGCTTCTTTAGGTTTTCGTCCTTCCTTCACTTTCCTAGGTAACTCAAATCGCCAATCCCAATTCGCAAGCACCTCTTCCCTATCAAAATCTATCCCTCCAAACTCCAGTTGCAACCAACAAAAGAATCGTGCGAGCCGTTCGATAGCCCTAGAGACGATAGATACTAGGATATGCCGATCTGATCTGGTATGGAAATGCTTGTGGGTGGTAACAAGGCGGGGGTGATGAATGAATGAATGGATTCTTATATACAGTAGGTAGGGAGGGATGTGGTTAACCCCAGGTTCTCGGATATCAGTATGCCGAGGTTCAAGAAATGTCAGCGGGAAATTGGGGGGTGCTGATTGGTTGATTGATAGGGGGAGGGGAGGGGTTGCGTCATGTGGGGTGGCGTCATGTGATGAGGGGCACGTGATGATAGGTAGTCCCCTGAGGAGAGGAGGGCAATTGGGGATGGGATGGGAAGGAGAAAGGTATAGCTGCTTTGGGAAAGGGATGAAGGTTGAAAATAGATGGAGAGAGAGATGAACAATGGGATAGGGTCGTAAGTAAGTTGAGCTGTGCTTGCATCTACCATAATCTAGAATCTTGCTTTCGCAATGCTATGCATCCAAAACTCCAGCGCCAGCGCCGTACTCCACACCCATGAATATGCCAAGCTAGATATACAAGACCACCCTCTCCTCTCTCTCATCATCGGATCCCAAAGAAACCGCCGTAATTCCCTAATGCGCTTTGAAACTCCTGATTATATGCCAACATGGCCGCGCAATCGCTCTCGCTCCTCGCCTCTTCAGCCTTGGGAAGCCATTCCGTGATCCTGCTCACGCGGTTCTCATTCGACGGGTGCGTCGACAGCCACTCGGGGATCTTATTCTTGTCCGCGGCTTCCATGCGCTTCCAGACGCCGACGGCCGCGCGCGGATCGTAGCAGCTCCGCGCCATCATCATCAAGCCGATGTAGTCCGCCTCGCTCTCCTGGATCCTGGACGCGGGCCGCAAGATTCCGAGATCGAGGAGGTACGTCCCGAGGAGCCGGCCCAGACCGTATGTGAACCCAGAATAGTCGAGGATAAGGAAGACGATCTGGAGAGGGCCCATCATGTACGCGGCGCGGCTCATCTGCTCGGCCTGGTGCCGCGCGAGGTTGTGTGCGATCTCGTGGCCCAGGACAGTCGCCAGCCCGTCCTCCGTTCTGGTGATCGGTAAGAGACCGCTGAAGACGAAGACCTTGCCGCCGGGGATGACGAATGCGTTTGCTTCTATATCACAGGTCAGCTCATATTCATTTCTTCATCGACGCGGGTTCCGCAACGTACCATTGGATTCGATTACGTGGACCTCCCAGTCGACATGTTCCAGACCACTCGCCGGTATCAAGCGCTTCATGACCCGGTTCACCATTCGGACGCGGGGGTCCCAGGACGGCAGGATGGCTCGCCCTGCTTCTTGCATCACCATGTTATATAGGACGCGGCCCTGCTCCTCCACTGACGCATCGCTGTAGCACATGAACCTTTTCCGCCCTGACACCGGCACTTCCTCGAGATGTGTGAAGTAAAAGATGACTGCGGAGCCGGCAGCGATTATAACCACGGTTTTGGTTGAACGGCTGGTGGCGGCGTTCCGGACGGCCTCGACGGTGATGAGCGGTTTGGCTCGGCGAGCCTCTTCAGGGTCGTAGCGTGTGTAGATTTTCTTTTCCGGGCGGCCGCGAGGCGGGAGTATCTTGTCCGGACGGCGGGGTGGGGGAGGTGGTGGAGGGAAGCCAGATTCGAAGCGGCGGGAGATGGAAGAGGGTTTTTGTCGTGGGAAGGGTTGTCGTAGGCATCTTGAGGTTGTTGGCGTGCGAGGGAGAGAAGGCAGAGATCGGAGGACATTTCGAGAGAACATTTTGATGGGTGGATGGAAAGGTGCTGCCGCCTCCCAGAGAGGGGGATGGCAATATGCGATGACACTGTATGCAAGGTGGGTATATGTGTGTATTTATAGGTAAAGAACGAAGTATATTAGCCTCTCTGGTGTTGGTGTTGATCAAAGTCCTAAATTCTAAGTTCTCAGCCTCTCCTGTGTACGTAAGGTTCCGAGGCAGCCTTGTCGGCGCTATGGATCCCGCCCGTCCACTGACGTATGAATTGCCCCGCCAAGGCAATGCAGAATAATCCCTCGAATAATGGAAAATGAAAATGAATTGAAACGAAACTAGGGGTATTTATATCATATTGATAAGACTAAGTTTACTATCTTGGCATTTCGAATCCTCCTTCTCTTTGGTCGCTCTAGAACAAATCACTCAAGCACGCTACCCATCAAGGTGCTGGCTGTGACATCCCTCTTCAACATAAGAACCCCTCCAAATCCTCTTCCCCCCCACAAACCCTCAACACCTCTCAGACTCTCACCGTCCCGCCAGCCAAGATGATGGAGGCAGCAGCAAGTGCAGCGAACGCCGTTCGCAGTCTCTTCCAAGACACTACCCCTCTGAAAGCAAAATGGCAAAGAATCGACTTCCCACCACTGCCCCGCTCCTCGCACTCCCTCTCTGTCGTCGCCGGACGAGCCTACATCTTCGGTGGGGAGATCAACCCACGCGAGCCCATTGACAACGACATGCATATCGTCGCTCTTCCATCGAGTCGTGACGTCTCAGCCTCCGATTACCATTCCGTCCCCGCCAAACCAGAAGTCGCTGGTGGTGAAGTGCCCCAGAAGAGAGTCGGACATACCGCGGCAGTTATCGGGGAGCGGATATTCGTCTTTGGCGGTAGGGGAGGGAAGGACATGAAGCCATTGGAAGAGAACGGACGAGTGTGGATCTACAATACGCGGACTGATACCTGGACCTTTCTCGACCCGATGCCAGGAACTCCATATCCCGTTGCGCGATCCTACCACACGAGTGTCGCACTGGAGAAGCCCGAGCCGTCAAATGCAAAGGAGGCAAGCGGGGTTGTAGAGGGGGCACAGGCAGACGGGGAGGCGAACGGGCATGGCACCTTGTTTATACATGCGGGGTGCCCGGCGGCGGGGAGGACGAATGATCTTTGGGGTTTTGACGTCAGGAGTCGGACATGGAAGGAATATCCCTCTGCGCCTGGAAAACCGAGAGGGGGTACCTCAATCGCGGTCTCGAAGCACAGGCTCTATAGATATGGGGGATTCAATGGGCAGGGAGAAGAGGGTGGCAAGCTCGATATTCTGGAACTTGGCCTGGCGACGTTTAGTGACAAGAGTGGTGCAGGCGAAATGACGCTTACGGCAAAAGGGGAGTGGCATAGTCTTGACTTCACGGAGGAGAATATGGTGTGCCCAGGGAATAGGAGTGTGGCTGGCTTGCAATCTATCAGCACGGGAGCGGGGAGGGAGTACCTGGTCCTAATGCTGGGCGAGCGGGATCCAAGTAGCCAAGGTCATAACGGAGCAGGCAAGTTCTGGGGCGACGTTTGGGCATTCCAATGTCCACCACAGGGCATGACGGCTGCCTCGTTCATAGATGCGGCGTGGCAGGCTATGGGGAAAGAGACGGGCGAGGGTCTATGGAGTCGGCTAGAGGTTGCCAATGCTGAGGGAGCCGAGGGTCAGGATGTGAAAAAGCTTGGTCCTGGGGAGAGAGGATGGTTCGCAAGTTCGGGTATGGGAGACCTGGATGTCAGTGGCATCGTTCTCTCGGGAGGCCTGAATGGAAACAATGAAAGACAAGATGATATGTGGGTCTTAAGAATTGAATGAGCAATGAGCCAGATCTGGAAGAATAGGAGGAACGACAATGTGCTTTTTCGATAAGCTTCAAAATATAAGCATGCACGAGAAAGTGGAGTTTATGTTGCACATCGCACCACTACATGCTGCTCTGGGTACCTTAGGGTATCTTAAGGTTAAGGAGGTAGGTGAGGTAAGGTAAGGTACCTGGTATGTCAACGGAATGTTCATCTCGGCGGGTCATGCTTATATACGCGTGACTGGGGGTTTTGTTGCACATCGCAATCGTGCTAATCTCCAGAGTGTTGAACGTTGCTTTCTACAGCAGTGGGATTGTCCATCACGTGCGAATGCACTCGTGACTCCAGCACCGCGTACTCTGGGAGATTGAGTTTTGTTGCACATCGCACCAGCAACATGCTCAATGCTGATTTCCACAGTGTGTCCAAATAGGCTATTGTTATGCGAGCACCTCAAAGTGATAAAGAGCCACCTACTCTATATCGTCCGGGGCTCGTATAACACTTTCACAGGTGCCCAATTATCATTGCCCTCAAAATAAGGACCCTTCGACAGATCGGCACTCGCCTATCTACGGGGTAAACTGGATCTCGGCCGAGTCTCTCCATTCCATTCCCCTCCACTCTTCTCTCCGCTCCCACTCATCCTCAAATCTGTAAATTACCAACGCCGAACCTGCATCGCCTCTCTCCAGCTATACCTCACATCTTGACATGGCCTACTGAAGAGAGCTTTGCAGGTAACGGCTCCCTCGCCTTCTGCTACCCCTTACTAACGATCCAGCACTCACTACTCACTCACCATCTAGCACTCCACGAATCATGTCTGCCGAAGCAGCCCTGACTGCCAGCGCCGCGCAGTCCATTGCGCCCTCGCTCTTCCCCCCTCGCAAGACGCCCACTCCCGCCCAGATCGCGCGCGCCATCGAAGCCTGCCTCGCAGTCCAGCGCCGCGCCGTGTCCTTTGGCAAGCGGCCCTTCGCCGCCGTGCTCCTCGGACCCGACAACGAGACCGTCCTGTTGACGCACCAGAGCGTCGACCAGGTTAATCACGCTGAGAGTTCGCTGGCGCGCCTCGCGTACCTGCAATACCCTAAGGAGTTCCTGTGGACGTGCACGTTGGTCAGTACGTGGGAACCATGCGCTATGTGTTCTGGTGGGTTTTTTCTTTTTTGGGTTCTCCTTATCCGGAGTCTGTGAAAGGGATATATAAGGATAGAGGCTCATGAAAGTGGGTTCTAGCGACGATTTATTGGGCGCATATCGGGAGGGTCATCTACGCGGCGACTAATGAACAGTTGGCGCGGCTGACGGGGCCGGGGAATAAAGAGAACTTCACGATGAAGTGGCATACAAGGGATGTGCTGGAGGGTCAGCAGAAGGATATCGAGATTATTGGGCCGGTAGAGGGGATGGACAGGGTAGTGGTGGAGGAGAGTGACGTATATTGGAAGGGGACAAGGAAGGTTTAAGATAAAGGGGGTTGGAGGGATGCTTTGTTTGGGGAGGGAGGGGGGTGGTTTAATATCCAGAGAAGAGTGGAGGTAGGTTATAGGGTGATAGCAATTTACAGGATGAATGCCGTGAGCAGCATCTAAGATTGAGTGAAGAGTGGACGCTGCGAAGTGGTTGGTTGCGAGCATAGCGAACAGTGACTCTTGTGCCATCATAGAGGCGTAGCCAAGAGTCATTCTTAACCATCTCAGATATATGAGCCATTGTGCATGGTTCTGTTCTTTTGAGGCGCGGTTGAATTTCAAGTCGAGGCATTCATTCACCTTCTTATTCCGGGTCCATAAGAAATCCGGCGAGCTTAATGCGATTAGGGCGCTCTCTCAACCCTGCTGCAAATCCTCGGTCTTGACTCACTGTCGTTGCAGTTAATTGGTCTACGGTCTACCACGCCTCTGTATATGCTGCCCATGGTAGCGAAGATATATAACATATATAAATGCCAAGTCCCATCTCAAGTGAGAGGGCAGTCTCTCCCCTGCTTTACATCCTGTTAATCATCAGTCAATCATGCCGGAAAGCGATTCCCCTCTTGAAGTTCAGGTAACCGCGTCTACGCAAATCTTCCCAGATCCAAGTCCCGAAGAGCCAATTACGGCTCCTCTCTCCATTGTCGATTGTACTGTTTCTTACTTCGCCCGTTGTGCCGGAATCTGGCTCTATGACCCTCCTGCAAGCCCAGAGTCAACTCTTTCAATACCCCACCTTCAAGTTGCCCTCTCCAAGACTTTGAACTCTTACCGCCCATGGACTGGACGTCTCTCTTATGTGGTACCAAAGCAGAACGAAGGCCATACCAAGCGTTACCGTCGCGTTCAAGTCACGTATAATGCTCCCACTGATTTGGGCGTCACCTTTGTCACGGCCACATCTCCGAAGACCCTTTCGGATTTCCTTCCCAGCCCCGAGGAGCGGAGAACAGCCCTCAAGCTTTGGGATGGTTTGCAATTTCCCTCGGAAGGGCTCCTCCCTCAAACTCGAATGGCGCTCTCGAGTGGAAAGCCTCCACCGGATGCTCCTAATTTGATTATACAAATCACCACATTTGCTTGCGGCAGCACCTCGATAGGCATTGCGATTACACACGGGCTATCAGATGCCCAATCAATGTGTACTTTTCTGATGGACTGGGCCTCCATCAGCCGTGCTCTTCACTCATCTGCACCACTGCCATCTCCGTCTCCCCTTTTTGATCCACATCGTCTAGATGCCGCTGCAGCAGGGGATATCGACGCTGAATTTCCAGATCCAGCCCTCATTGAACAAGCTCGCAAGCTGCCCCTCCATCGGTTCGATTGGTATAAAGAAGTGCCCAACCAGCCATGGCCAGTCCACACGCCTGAAGATTTTGATCACACTACCCTCCTAAGTCCCAGCGACCCTATCCCCTGGGAAGACTGGGACACGAAAGCTCCCGTAGCCCATCGCGTCCTGCATTTCAGCGCCGCCGAAATCCAACACATCCACAACCTCGCCCAACCCTCCTCCACCGATCCCCAAGTCTCCAAGCACGACGCCCTGCTAGCGCACATCTGGACGCGCATCAACCTCGCCCGCCAACTCCCCGCTTCAACTACCACCTATCTAAATCTGACATTCGGTCTCCGTCCCCGTCTTTCCCTCCCGCAGAACTTCCTCGGTAGTCCCATCATGATCACCGCCATCCCCACCATTCTCTCCTCCTCCTCCTCCTCCTCCCCGCCCCCGCTCTTCCAAACCGCAAGCACCATCCGCACACATCTGCAAGCCTTCACGCGGAGCGCCATCGCCGCCGTGCTCCACGACGCGGCCTACGAAGTCTCCCCGCAACGCCTGTGGCGCGCTTTTCTGGGCCGCAAACATGTCTTGCAGACGACGTGGGTCGGTGCTGGTGCGACGGAGGTGCACTTTATAGGCGGTTCGGCGAGCCCTAAATTAAGATTTGTAAAGCCGGAGATGGGGGGTGATGGGTTGGTTCTGGTTATTGAAGGGCTGGGGGAGAATGAAGGGCATTGGACGGCTAATGGGGCGGATGTGATGGTGTATTTGGAGAAGGGGGCTATGGAAAGGTTGGAAAGTGATGAGGGATTGTGGGGTGGGGGGGTTGTATAGTTAGTTGGGAAAGTGTTTTCTTTCTTTTTTCTGGTGCTGAATAGAGAATTACTTTTGTATCTGTATATCTAGAGCTTTAGATGTAGATAGGCTGCGCAGAAACCCATGGGTCCCCACCAAATGGGTTGGGTACCCACCCCATGGGGTGGGTTATAGTATATAGGACCCAACCCATGGGTCCCCAAATAAATCCACGACCCAACCCATGGGTACAGTGTATCCTAAGGTATCTACATCATGTAGATACCTTGTTCATCCAGCCAACTACTTATTCTCCTTCCCGAAGCACCTTGTATTAATTACCCCCCCCCCCCCCCCCAACCCAATCTTCCAAATCCCTCCCTTCCCCACAACTTTCATACCTACACAAGAAGTCTAGAACAACCCCACCTCCCAATCATTGTCTTTCCTAACTCCTTTCCAATATCCTACTATTCACTAATACAGTAATACTAACAATAAGAATATATTTCAGTAACAGATTTCCGCTGTCAAATTTAGGATGGAAAGTCGTTGTCAATCCCTTTTTTCTTTTTCTTTTTCTTTTTCTTTTATGACGAGGGGAAAATTCACTTAAGAGCTTAGGTTTAGAGTGAGATAGGGGAGTCGAGCGGGGTGCGAATTTGTCATGTGTTCCTTGCTTATATCATGTATATAGTAACATCTGGTAGCTTCATCAATCCACAGACACGACATAAAACGATCAAGGGTTGATTGACACTTAACAGAAATCCAGGCAGCAGTAGTTATTAGAGGAAAACAGGGCGTAGTTAGTCTCAGTCTGTGATAGCTTGAAAGGGGCGAGATGGCTCGACATTATGGCTGATAGGAAGGCTGGAGAGCATGAAAAGATCGTTCTAAAGCTCCAGGTTTGGCTTTACCCTCTACCGCTATTCGATCCGCCCGTCCTTCATACTGCGCAGATGAAGTGAGCTAGAAGAGGTGAGATAGGTAGAAGAAGATTAAGTAAGAGAATGAAGATGGCCTGGTTCTGAACCGCTGACTTGGCAATATTTCCTTTTTTTTCTTTGGGAACAGGAAGTGATGGGAGGTGCTTGGGAAGTTGGGATGGGCTTCCTTTTTATATTGGATTAGGAAATGGGGTTCTGAAAGAGGGGTTCAGGGAGAAGTCTAACTTATTTGATTTATTCACTAGGGATTTTGGGTTCAGGGAGTATGTAGGTGTGTATTTATGTTTTCCGGGGCTTTAGGGGAGGGAATTGTTGAGTTGATATGAGCAGTAGTGGGTTCTTTTCTATTATATGAAGGTGCCTTTTCTTTCAAAAAGAAAGTTGTCTTATCTCATAGATAGTCAAGCTCGCTATTAACATCTTGTCTTCCTGTAGTAAGGTTATGTGATCAAGTCTATTTGAGTGAAGAGTCGCTAAGTATCACGAGATCTAGTATTTCAGGGGGGGCATGCCCACATCTTCCATTCCATTCACACACCATCTCAATCACTCCAACGGCACAACACTATACGAAATCCTACTAATCCCCTTCGATCTCTTAATCTTACTAACCACTATCTTCCCCACCCCCCCAGAATCCAGGACATGCGTACCTCCGCACGGATAAGCACCGACCCCTTCAATCTCGACCGCTCTCGCCTTCTCCCCCTCGGGAATCACGAAGCCTTCTAGAACCGCCTTGCATTTCTCTCTCAACTCCGGCTCATCCCACCAATGCAATTTAATCTTCAACTTCCTATCCACCAGCTCATCCGTTTTCGCCTGGATCGCTTCTAGATGCTTCCCATCAATGGTGCCGCGGAATTCTACGTACGCTGCTTCGGGATAATGCTGTGCTTTCGTATCCACCACGTCTGGGATCTGCGCTGAGAGCTCGTGCACCGCGACGCCGATGATGTGTCCCGCGGTGTGCAGCCGCGAATACAGATCGCGTTTCTGCCCGTCGATCACCTGCTTTACCATCTCACCGGTGGCAAAGGTCGTTGAAGATGGAGAGGGAGAGAAGGTCCCGAGATGCAACGTGCGTTTCTGAGGCCCGTTCCGCACGCTCAGAACTTGGAAGCTCGCACCCCCCGGAACAAGCGATTCCATAAAACCGACATCGCTGGGCTGCCCGCCGCCTTGGGGGTAGAAAATGGTGGAGCTAGTTACGACGATGTAGGCGCTGGCTGCGGCTGAGAGGTGCTGTTTGAAGAGCGCTTGCTCGGCGGCGGGGAGGGCGTTGAAGGGTTGCACGGAGAGAACTTGGGTACTAAGTTCACGAAGCTGGCCTTCATGTTGATAAATGGGTTTGGTGCCTTGGGGGACTTCCTGTCATGGTGTTAGTGGGAGGTCACGTTGACTCTTTAAAGAGGTTTGTTTACCATGGTCAAGACTCAAGACTCAAGAGTGGGGATGCAGAGGGAAATTGGCTTGCGCTGGTTTATTTGCAAGGTCCAGAGAAGGGAGCAAAAATAGAAGCTTAAACTTATGAATAAAGGAACAGAGAAGGAAATGCATATTCCGACGTATATAGTCACGTTGAATGTCATGGAAAGGGCGTAGGTGAAGAGGGAGGCGGGGCTCACTTCGCTAATTTATCCATTCAGGGAAATGTCGTTTAGCTCGCCTAATCTCGGGGGATTATAGGGGTAACATTGCTAGATACAGGGCGGCTGTTGAGTAAAGCATGAGTCTTCAGGCCCTGATCTACCAAACCATTCTTCCCTACTTTGCAATTTCAGGGCTAGGCTAGGAATGTATATATTTCAACCTGCTTCTCTCTTCCGGACAAACTATCAGTAATGAAGATCTATATTCATCCACTGACTGACATGTTGTAACTAGACTAGCCACTAAACTCAAACATGTCGATATCCACCAGCATTGGTTGAGGCAGGAGGTCTGTTCTTTAAAGGTATCCAAATACGGTAAATATTCGTCGACTCGTATCCCACGACGTATCCAGCAAAGGCCTTTGGATCTAGTTTATCGAGTCTGGCCCTATTCTTGTTCAGCGCGTACGTCTTACAGCCGTAGGCGCGTAGGTGGCTCGATTTGGGCTTCAGCCTCTCGTTTTCACCCTGTTTATTAGGTAGGCGGCTGTTCTACTAGCTTCAGGCCACAGGTTCTCTAGTAGTCTACCTTCAGTTTGTAGGGCTATTCCCCTTTGAAGGATCACCCCCCTAGATCGCTCAGCTGGCCCGTTTTGTTGTGGAGTTCGTGGCGCTGATCTCTCGACTAGGATACCCTCTTCGTTTACCCACTCATCGAAATCACCTCTTAAGAGACGTTTCGCCGTCTACTCGAATAATCTTCATTTTGAACCCCCACTGCCTATATACCATACGAGCAAAGTGGCGAAGAACGCCGGGGGCTTCCTGTTTCGATTCCATGGTATATGCGAAGTTCATTCGGGTTAAATCATCAAGGATATGGAGGATATAACGCTCGCCTGTATCCGCTGTTCGAAAGGGGATGAGATCTACGTGGATTCGACCGAATAGGGTAGTGGCCCTGTCTGCCGGCACTCGTGATATTCGTTGCCTAGCGTTGGATAATTGACAGGTTTCACACGGGGCTATAGGATACCGATCCGTATCGACGATTTTGACGAGCTCTTTTGTGGCGTGGGTTAACGATAGCAGGCGTCTGGCCGGGTGACGATAGTGGCGCTTGCTCTTTAGGTCCGGATTCAGTGGCTAGAGGCTCTGTTCGATCGTTTAAATCGTTCGATGCGTTCGATGCGTTCGATGCGTTCGATGCGTTCGATGCGTTCGATGCGTTTAAATCGTTCGATGCGTTCGATGCGTTTAAATCGTTCGATGCGTTCGATGCGTTCGATTCGTTCGATTCGGCGTCTGGCGTAGCCCGTGGAGTAGGGAGTGGCATGGTAAGTTGTGGGATCCGTGTTTTCGTGCTAACCTGAGGCCTCGAAGGAGGCTCAATTGACTGTTCTCTTTCCTCTATTACATATCCTGGCACCTCTAGCACTATTACGTCTTCAGCATCCTGTTCTTCGATCTGCCAGTTGTTCGTTCGTGAAGACGCTTCAAGGGCCCTGATGGCCTTTTCTTCGGCTTCCTGAGGTTCTATGGGATCGTACCGCGCTGTTTCATCGAATGTTACATCCCTGGTGGCCACTACCCTGTTCTTTGAAGGGATCCAAATGCGGCAAATATTCGTTGAGTTGTATCCCACGAGGTATCCAACAAAGGCCTTGGGATCCAACTTATTGAGCCTGCGAAGGCTATACAGGCCGGTAGCAATAGGAGGTGGTGATCGAGCTTGCCAAAGCCTTCAACGCAGCGAATATTAACCTCACTATCCATATCGCTATTCGTAAACGCGTTAACCGCGTCTAATTGGTGTATATCAAGATCGTACTGAGCGGCTATAGCCATCAGGGCCCTGAATACCCTTGACGCCAGCGTGACGGCATAGTTATCACGTCCGTCAGGGCGCTGTAAATCGCCCCTCACCACCAGTCTAGCCTTGAATTTGGCTAGGAAGCCGTCGGTATCGAGTTGTATGTGAATACCCACCTGATTGGGATCACATATCTCTTGACTTCAGAACGGTGGACTGGTTTGAAGGTGCAACGCCGTTCTAGATCGGTATACTCCTTTTCAGCGGCGATCTTGAATTCAGTGCCGTAGGGGTGATTCTGAAGCTCTCCCCAGTGCTTAGGAGGCGCCGGTAGATCATTTCACCCCGTTTGACACATTGATAGAGCCGGGCGGTTGGCCCGAAGGCTCGTTGTAGTTACCTTTATACTGGTTCTAAAGCAGGCGCAACTACTCTCTTCGTCCTCTTGAAGTTGACTACACGTGGTATTCGGTGCGTTCGATCGTAAGTGACGTGGTTCGAGCCAAATAGGCTCCTGGGGCTACGCAGGGAGCCTATCCTTTGATGGATCGACGAACCCACATACGTCGGCCCCTATAGCGGTAGCCTGGATCCCACAGATCCAATCACGGCGATCGTGTTGGCCGTATCCGCCATGGCTGTTGCAGTTGATTGAGCAATCGCGCTAGAAAGTCTGCTGAGCTCTGGTTTCCGTTGGTGAACGCTATTTATTTCGAGTTGGCGTGCTGATTTGAGCTGAGTCAAGTTGAGTTGACACCAAATTGGCGTTCAATTCGTTTCAGTTGGCTGCCGTTAAGCCTCGCGAGTCTGCTTCAGGAGTCGAAATCACTTCCAAATAAGCCTATTTTAACGCGTTGGCAACAGCTATTCATCTCTGATAGCAGCGTCGAACAATGAGTCGGTCGAAGCGTCTATTGATCGATCAGTTACCGGTAGCTATAGGAAGCAATCTGGGCACACAACTGTCAAATAGGCGCGACTGAGGTGACGAATTGAGTTTTAGACAGCACGCTTGGATAGTGTCAGATAAAAGAGGTTATATATCACTGTAAAGAAGTGGTAATAACAGGCGAATTTAAGTTGGTTAGAAGTAGATTAAATTAAACTAAATTAAATAGAATAAAGAGTAGTCCCCTGTTCTATATACTTAAAAAAGGGGTTGTTATTTATATGTATAAGCGCTATATCCGCTATAAACAAGGTATATAAGTACTTAAGTACCTAAATCCTAATAACACTATAAACTATTAAACAAGGTATAAGAGATTAATCCCTATATATTAATTAAGGGTTAGTTAGTAATTAAGGGAATAAGTTCTGTATCTTAGTAGTAATTAACCTTACTATTTAACATACCCTTCTAAGGATTAAGCTAATTCTAGACTTAACTAAAGAGCTAAGTACTAGTATAGCTCTCTCCTTAGCTCTCTCTCTAATTAGGTAATAATAAAGCTATTCCTATACCTAAAGGTATACTAGTACTTACTAGTACGGCTCTCTCCTTAAGTAAAAGGTTAAAGAATTAAGGAAAGTACGTAATAGTAGGCACTTAATTAAGAAAGGCTTAACGTTTAAGTCCTAAAGCTCCTTAAAAAAGAACCTTAAGGACTTTTAGTACTCTAAGTAGTAAGACATGTTAAGTAATTATTAGGGACTTAAAGGGGTAGGATTAGGAATACGTAAGTCCTGTATACTTATAAGTACACTAGGGCTACTTAAGGTTCTTAGGTAGTATATATATATCTTAGGGAGTAAGGGGTAAGAAAAAGAGGTAAGAATTAGTTTAGATTTAAATTAAAGTATACTATAACTTACTAGCTACTTAACTATAATTCTCTACTATATTACTTATAATACTAATCCCTAACATTCTAATTCTTCTTCTTATTAAGGAGGTAGCTTATTATAGTTATAGTACTTAGTCGTTTAGAGAGAGATACTTAAGAGACTCTTATAAGAAGAGCTACTAGTAAAGAAAACCTTAGTAAAAGAACTCTTACTATAATATAAGTAAGCTATATAGTAGTTAAGTAAGAGTAAGAGTAAGGAGTAAGAGATACTAGTAATAAGTTAGTAATACTTAGTTAAGTTAAAAGGCTATAAGCGTAACTTATAAAAGCCTAGAAACGTAATAAGAAACTTAAGTAACTAAATAAAGAAAAGGATAAAAAAGAGCGTAAGGCCTAAAAAAGGTCGCTTTAATAGCTTATTAAAGAAGAGTATATAAAGAGCTAGTATCTCTCTTTACGCCTTTATATACCTAAAGACAAGGCTAAAGACATAACCTAAGAGTAAGATAGTATCTATAATAAGGCTATAAAGTCTATAAGAAGACACCTAGTAATACTCTTAAGACTACTAGTATTTATAATAATAATAGTTAAGTAACAACAGGCCTTAGCCCTAAAGCCCTTTATAAGTAAGAATATCTTAGAATATAACGACTTTATATATACTTATAAGATAAAGTTTTATATAAGTCTTAATATTTATATAATAAAAGAAAGTAAAATTATATACGTTATACTATACTTAGAAAAGACCTCTTAATCTATATAAATATATAAAGAGTAAGAGTAAAGAGAAGATACTAAGATATAGTATAGTTTTAAGAGGGTTATATTATCTTACTTAAGTAGCCTAGAAATAGTAAAGTTAAAGGCGCTTAGCTAGTATAAAAAGGTAGTACTTTACTTAAGACAATCTATTTAGTCGTTTGTCTAATACTTAGAGCTCTTTAAGAAATAACTCTCTTTTAAATCTAAAGAGACTAAGATAAATGTTCTCTTTACTAAGCTAACGTAAGAGCTTTAAGTTAAGGTTACTAAGTACAAGCTTTTATAGACTTATAAAGAACTTATTATAATAGTAACTTAGATCTAGAAAAGTATAGTAAGTTAGGATTCTAATAACAACAAGTATATAAAGAGACACTAGTAAGGATATAGTAAATATATAAGTTATTAAAAAAGTTAGTCCTTATCTAAAGAGTACTAGTAAGGATATAGTAAGTACTTAGTACGTTAATAAAGCCGCTTTACGTCTAGAGAACATTCTAGAAAAAAAAGAGGCTTATAAGACTTACGTTCTTAATACTCTAGTATAAGCGTTAATAATACGCTACTATAATCTAGCTTAAACCTAAGTCTATACCTAGAAT